TTACCAAATTTGGTCTACCATCTGTTTTTTGAAAAAAAAAAATTAATTTTAAAATAATTCAATAATTGAATAGAAATAATTGAAAACAATCCAGTAATTCAAGTAGATTCACAGAAAGTTGCTAAGACAGTAGGGCCCTGTGTATCTTTTACCGAGTCTTCTCCAATAACTACCTTTCACATAATGTGCACTATCAAACCAGGAAATTGACACCAGTAAGTATGTATGTATATTTCTATGGAGTTTTATCATGTGTAGATTCATACAGCCACCACTGATACAAACCATTCCATCACAATAAAAGTCTCTCTCTCTCTCTCACACACATACACACACTCACACACATACACTCCTCCCTGTCCCCCACCATTCTTAAGCCCTGGCCAACGTTCAATTGTTTCCATTTCTTATTTTGTCATTTCAAAAATGTTATATAGGTGGAATAATACATGTGACATTTTTGAGATTGCTTTTTTTCACTCAGCATAATGCCTTTGAGATCCATGCAAATTGTGTCTATCAATAGTTCATTCTTTTTTATTTCTGAGATGTATTCTAATGCACAGATGTACTATAGCTAACTATTCATCTAGTATAGGACATTTTGGTGGATTCCAGTTTTTGGCTATTACATATAGTTGCTATGAACAAACGTGTACAAGTTCTTGTGTGAACATAAGTTTTCATCTGTTTGTGATAAGTGCCAGGAGTGCAAGTGTTGGGTCATATGATAAGTATATGCTTAGAATTATTTTCCAGGGTAGCTGTTCCATTTTATATTCCCAGAAGAAGCGTATGAGCAATCCAATTTTCTACATCCCTGTGAGCATTTGGTGTTGACACTAATCTTTATTTTAGTCATTCTAATAGGAGGGTGGTGGGTCTTATCATGATTTTAATTTGTATTTCCCAGATGGATAGTGATGTTGAACATCTTTTTGTGTGTTAGTCATTTATCTTCTTTGGTGAAATATCTCTTCATGTTTTTTGTCCTTTTTTTTTTAAAGAAAAAAAATTGGATTGTTTGTGTTTTTACTATTATGGTTTGCAAGTTCTTTATATCTTCTAGATACAAGTTCTTTGTCAGATATGTGGTTTGCAAATATTTTCTCCCAGGCTGTAGCTTGTCTTTTCATCTTCATCAGGTCTTTCATGGAGCAAATTTTCAAATTTTGATAAAGTTCAATTTATCAATTTTTTCTTTTATGAATCATGTTTTTGGTGTCAAGGATAAAAAAAAAGCCTTTGCTTAGCCTAGATCCCAAAGAATGTCTTTTATTTTTTTCCCTATAAGTTTTGTATTTTACATTTAAATCTATGATCCACACTCTGGTTTCTTTTCAGATTGTATCAATCTTTTGCACTTTTAAAATCTATGATCCATCTAAAGTTTTCTTTAAGGTGTGAGGTAGAGATTCATATTTTTGCCTTTTGCACCTTTGTGAAAATCGGTTGACATCTGTGTGGAGCTATTTCTGGCTCTGTGTTTTTTTCTACAGATCTAGGTGTCTGTCCCTCCATCAGTATCACACTGTCTTGATTATCATAGTCTTGAGTAGAATGATTCCTTTCATTTTTCTTTTTCAAAATTGTTTTAGCTACTCTAGTTCCTTTGCCATTCCATATAATTTAAAAATTATCTTATATATAGTTATAAGAAAAATCTTGCTGGGATTAGGCGCAAATTGCTGCCAAGCAATAGAACTAAGCACAGGCATTCTGGACCTGAGATCTTCCTCCTGCTCCAGTAAGCTGGTGGCTTTGCTTCAGGTAGTGAAGTTGGGCACAAATTTCCCCCCAAAGTAGTAGCTATAATTTTTCAGGTAAAATTGAGATACTGGAGGCTAGTTGTACTCTCAAATATATCATTGCTATTGAACTAGCAAGGCCTGTTGGACCTTTCCCATCTTGTTAATGCTCCAGTTTGATCTAACTCACAACAACATTGAGACGCTGGACCACCAAATCACCATGTTTTCAAGGACTCAATTTCAAAAGCAGAACAGTATAGTACATTCATAGCTGCTTTTCCCCCAGTGTACTTGGTGGCTGCATCAGCTCGGGGCAATGTCATGCTGGCAAAAGGTCTAAGTGTGCTGACTGTCATTAAGTCTTTAAAGCAGTGATTTCCCTTTCTATTTTTGTCTTTTTACCATTATGGTTTGAAAGTTCTTTATATCTTATAGATATAAATTCTCTGTCAGATATGTGGTTTGCAAATATTTTCTCCCAGGAGTCTAAATTGTTTATGCTGGACCACCAGGGAGAGTCAGAGACAGTTTGGGGAGTGATCTACATATTCCATTATCACCCCTCTACATGTGACAGTCTTTGAAAGGGAGAATTCCACAAGACTCTGCTAGCTTCCCTTCCCCACTATGGAGCATGTTCAAACACCTTTTCCACCACAGAAACACAGACCATACACCACATAGCTGAGAATGTGTGAAGCCAGGAGCAGCACATTGCAAATGGGTGCCAGGCCACACAAGCCACCAGGAGGGCGGGGAGCCTGTTGTGATGGGAGCAACTGGAAAAGACATCTAATCGTCGGCCAATTTTTCTCCTTTAGCCTGTTGCTCCAGGATCAGGACCTGAACCCTGACTACCTCTCTTGTGGCAGTGGTGACACCTCTCAGCATCCAGAAAGAACAAGGACCCATGTACAGCACCATATTTTACCCCTTTCTTCTCCCATGTACAGCACCATACTTTACCCCGAAGTCTCTGGTACCTTCTGTCACTCCTGCAGCCACTTCTTGTCCTTGTTGCTGGCTAAACCAGCTATGGCAGGGGCCGGGGTGGTGAGCATGATGCTCTGCATTTTCAGGCAAGGCCTTGCATTCACTTTTGCCCTCGAACACTGCAACTGCTAGAGGCTTCCCCAAGTGACCTAACATCTGCAGATGTTCTTATTGCTAATACCATTTATTTTGATTCAGCACTTCTTGATTCAGCAGCAATAGACACACTTCCTTTCTGCTAGGGCCACAGGAATTACTAACCCCTAGTCATAAAAATGTCCCCTTCCTCTGCCTGAGGAGTAACAAGTAAGGTACCCTCTGGACAGCCTGTTTCAATACCACCTCTAGTGGCTAAGGCCCTAAACATAGCTCAACCCCTGTTCACGAATAGCTAGGTCAGTGGGCACCCTTAGTCTCCCCCAATCCTCACCTTATACCCATCACTTAGGGGAGAGCATTTGATACCAGATCCCAAGGAGTCTTACATTCCAGAACCAGCCCACGTTCCTTTTCCAGAAAAGCATGGCTATAGGTCAGCATCCCATCCTTGCTGCCAAAACTATTGGGTCTAGGATTTCATTTTCCCCTACTTACACACCAGTAAGTTAGCCGTCATGGTCTCATGAATGCTGACGGAAGACACAAGACTCTGGGTGAGAGGCACAGGACTGTCACCCATGGCACAGCATACAGAATGAACACTAGCACATTGGCACCAGTGCCCTTGTTTCCAGTTCCACAGGGACAGTGCGGAGGCCTGAATGGACACAAATGCACAGTGGGTTTGTGTTGCAGCTCAGTTGAACACTGAGTGTGAGGAGCCCTCTACTCTTACAGCAAGCAGTTAAGCTCCTTGACTTCAAGGGTTGCTGCTTATGCCACTGCCGAGACAGCGCAGGTGAAACGGTCAGCAGGACCTTGCAATCTTGCCACACCCAGCAAGGCATGTGGGCGCCAAGAGGCCCAAGAGAATAGACTGTCTCTTCCAACAATTATGCTGTGGCTCTGTTCACTCTTTCATGCATCTATGCTCAACCTGTTGTAAACTGCAGCTTCATGCAACCTGGGCCTCGGGACAATAAATACTGAATGGGATGAGACAGGTGGCTAAGAGATGACAGCCTGATCAAGAGTGTCATCAAATTGCAGTTTCAAAGACTAAGGGGAATTCCTTCAAAAGTTCAGTCACCACTCAGTCTGTCAGCTACCTGTCAGTCTATAAGTGGAACCGAGAGCTGAGGAAATGACTCTAGCTCACCTTTCTTTAAGAACTATGACTACTGCCAGTTCCTAAAGATTTACAATGTAGCCTAGAGACAGCACTTTTGTCTTTCTAGAAATAAATATACTATTCTGGTGAGAAAGTTATAACAACTGACAAAGCAATACAATGCTGCTAAGGAGAATGAGTAATGATGTCTGTAGCACAGTGCTGAAACTGCTACTTAGCCTAAGAGCCGAGCACATGAAAATTTTTCCCTATTTCAGCCTTAAAACACCCCTAAAGTTTGTATTATCATTTGATATTTAGAATCCAAGATTTTACTCTTCAGAGATATACTAACTATAACTTTCAAAATTATGACCAAATTTTAATAAGTCTCAGATTTGAGTTCATAACAGGTAAGTGACAACTATTTGAGAACAAAAATGAGATCAGTGACTGTAATAAACAGCAACATTTAAGGAACAATTCGCATATGGGCATTGGTCGTTAAGCTTCAGACCTATACAATGCAAGGCACGAACAAAACAGTATGACTCAAGCGATTATTACAAGCAGACGCCATGAGGTGCAGCTGTGGCCAGGAGCTCGCGTATGTGCTTGGAGGGGCAAATGTGCTTTGGGAACTGATAAGGGAAGAATAAAAAAGGGACAGAGAAACAGGCAGTTTTATTCACATGGCATAAAAATTCTTTCCTTTCCTAAGTAATTTTACAAAACATCCTTAAAGTTCTTGTTCTGTGTGTTCCTATTAGATTTCAAGGAAAAACCATACCATTTTTCTCCTGCCGTGATGAAAAGAAAATGAGCATTGAGGTTATAATGTTTTAACACTGTCATGCAGTGTTTTTGGGTTTACCACTGGGGTCTAAAAGGCTCAGTAAGTGGACTAGTGTAAAAATGTTAGGCACTAATCAATTATATATAAGAACCAAATTGATCCCATCACATTGGAGGGATTTAATTTGAAGAAAATCAGCTTCCAGACTTGGTTAAAACAAAGTCTACAATGTAATGAGACAAAATGGAAGTAGTTTAAGTAATAAATGTTTAATCAAAGAATTTTACATATTATTAACAGCATTCATTTGGCCAAACATCTACACGTTTGTAGAATCCTACTGTATATAAAGTGGGAATGTATCAAGTATAGACTATGAAAGTGCAAATAACAAGTCAAGGTTAGATTAACTTTTTTTACATTATAAAATCAACTTGTTTACAAAATAGGCTTTGCCAAACTTTATTACTGAATTGTAAAGTCAATGACTGTGTCGTTTTTAAAATATGTACCAAGGAAATACAAATTGGATAATGATCATTTTTCATGCTCAGGAGAGAACAGCACAGAAACAAAGGAGACTGCACAAGGTGCAAGGAACCCAGAACCCACCATGTATGCTATCTTCACAAAGAGCACGTTCTCACCTTACTGCAGCTGTGCAAGACGCTGCAATGTGATGCAAAGGCTTTCTGCTGAAAATTACAACTTGGTCTAAAAACTTATTGGTGTTGGTATTTTTAATCCAAAATAAATTTGTAAAAAAATCCTTTAATGGACTATTTCAGTTCCATATACAGTAATACACTGTAGACAAAGATAATATTTCCCCCCACTAACTTTAATAGGGATTGATCTCAATGTTTCTGATGACAGGAGAAAAGGTAACGTGGACCTTTGATCTCCACGGCAGAGGAGCAATTCCCAGTTTGTCCCAGGGAAGCCCGGGGGGAGTGAAATACTCTAACATAATGTTCTAGCCATATGAATTTGAAGTACAAGAATATTTCAAAAGCAGGGCTTGGAAATAAATGAACCAAAATGTACTCACAACTCCTGTGGATATTGATACTAATATAACCTCTTACCCAGCCCAGGACTTGCCTGTACAAACTCGGCACTGAAATTTTGGCATCTGTAGATTTTTAGTAACAACCTGGTGAAACATTAAATGGAGTGTTGCGCTTATCTATTCTGTTTATGTTATGCTAGTTTTGATTATATGTAAGTAAAACAGCCATTCCAACAGTTTACTCTAGTTTTAATTACACACTGTACCATTCATTGCATCTTAATTACAACTAAGACCAGTATTTTCTTTACAGTAAGACACTGATAACTAGGAAGTTGATTTTTTTCAACACTAAACAGTAATCACACAGTAAATGAGTATTGTGCAATAGAACAAACACATGTCAGCATCTGATAGTTAGGCAAACAAACAGATTGAACATTTAATTGTTATATTTACTGTAAAGGCAAGGCCATGGGTGGTTTTATGGAGGTCTTTGCAATTCATAGCATAGTTACTTCAGAAGAGACTGAAATTTGAATTACTCACTTATTTAACTGGCAACTATCCATTTAGGTTAGGCAAAGGCACAGTAACATGTTGCGCAGGATGTTTTATTGAATTTTTTAATAATTGTGGGATTCACTATAACTCATGAAAACACTTTTTTCTATATTATAAAACACTTACCATTAAAAGTAATTGCACCCATTAGTAATTAGAATGCACTGTAAAACCGTGAAAACAAAGAACTATGATTGCACTTCCAATAAAGTGTCTCTTAAAATACAGCACCGCCGTTGCTAATCAACTGTATTTTAATATTAAACTGTTTTTAGCAGCAGCATTAGGTTTAGTTAACTTAAGCTACAGGCTACATTTATTTAAATGCAGTCTCCATGACAACAAAACCCCCTTACATTCTGGAACATCATTGCTACTCAGTGGCACCTTTTACTCCTAGAACGTGGATACTGCTCTGGCACTCTAGGACACTGCACACCTAAGTGCCTTGTTAGTCAGCGCACGAGTCAGAGTTTGGCACAATTGGATTGTGAATAGACATGTAAAGAAATCTTTGATTCATGTGAAAATTAAAACTAATTACACTGTAGTAGATGCAGCACTAAAGAGAAGCTTTGGATGCCTCAATTGATACTGCTCAGACTAAAAGGAAGGAAGAAAGTTATGGAAGAGCACAAAGAGAAAGAGGACACACATGTTATTAGGTCTGTCCAAGGTGAACTAAAAATCAAGAAACTTTTTTTTTTTTTAAAGGATTAGGGAGTAAGCCTTTAATGTAAATGTTCAATTTAAGTATTGTCAACCCTAGGCTAAACAGAGGACTTTATTTTCTTAGAATCTGGAATGCAACCTATTTATGTCATTTTTGTTTGTTTTTCTTGCTCTTCTTTTTGTCAGCAAAAAGGGGAAAAACTACCCAATTAAATACAAAAGAAGTTCCCTATACAGTTAAAATAGGAAACGAAGCTACCATTCAAGGGAATTCCTGTGTATTCAATCCTAACGTTAGTGGTTTATAACTGAGTTGGAATTAAGTGAATCAAAGTCTCTCCAGTATACTCCACCTAGCATACCATCTGTACCTGCGATTTGTTTAGAGTCCAGATGTGTGCACTTTACACTAAATGTACTTGTTCAAGCCAGTCACTTGAGGTTTGAGATGTCTGACTTGAAACATCTAAACCATCCCCTTTGCTGGCTGCCTCATTACCAGTATCACCAGCTTGAGACGCTGCTTCCCCAGCCAGAATATTTTCTTCCAAAGAATTCTCTTCTATCTGGGTTCCTCTACCTTCACTGACACTAGCATCTTCAAATATTGAGTCTTCTTCTGGTGACACCAGTTCCATTTCTCTCACACCTTCTGACCCATCTTTGACACAAGAGAGCTGGGAATCTGCACCGATTTCTGTAGTTGCTGGAGGAATTAGGGCAATACTCTGAGGGTTCATGTCATGAAACCAAGCCATGATGTTGCCAAGAAGATTGTCATCAATGTTGGGGTCCTGGTCAGCAGAGTCAGGGTCACTAGATGAGGGACAGAAATCACTTCTTGCCTCACTGAGAGGGTGTGAACTCACAGTGTCAGTTGAAAATGGGTCACTTTCTGTTCCTAGTCTCATGAGACTATCACCAAGTTCCAAGAGCTCAGAGCTGCTCAATGCAGCTCTAGGGCTATCTGTATTTCTGGGGACTGAGTCTAACCTGGAAGGTAAGGAAGTGCCTATTGCTCCTAGAGAAGCTCCATTACTGAGGAAGTCTCTAGTTTCTTCTTCATCAATGGTCAGCCCGGACTCTTGCAGTGATAACTGTATTGCGAGAAGTATATTGGGATCATCTTCATCCAAGGAACTGAGAGCCTGAGGTAACAGAAAGTAAAGCCACCTTGAAATCTGACTGAAGAAAAAAACATTCAGCCCAACCAGGTGTGCCATTCTTCCTTTACCAAACAGATAATTAACATTAGTATTTATATAGAAGAATTATTTCATCTACTCAAATCTTACTATAATTTCTCCTTGCCCATGCATGGTAAAGGAAAAAACTCACCTTAAGATAAATCTGACATACAGAAATCTCTTCCCATAGCACATCTTTTAATCAAAGATTTTAGGACAGAAGAAAAAGGAAAGCAATAAAAGTAAAAATAGGGAACCAGACTAAAGAGAGGAAGAACAAAAGCAAGGGCAGAGAGACTACTTAGGAAGGCTACCTGCAGAGAGTCCTGGTTTTCAGAGCGGCTGGCTGGGGTGGAGTCACGCAGGGAGGAGCTGTGCAGCACACTCATGGACGTGGAGCTCACCACAGACGGGCCAGGCCGACGGCTGCTGCTACCTTCCGGGTTATCTGTGTCAGAGAAAAGTTAGTGACAAGATCGGTTTTGTTTCCCCGCACATCTTGCTACTTAAATTGGCAATTTTACTTTCGCTGCTGGTGAAAACCTGTGTTCACACGTTCATGTAATCTTTTTGAGAATTTTTTCATCCATATCTATCTCACCATGAGCGATAATATATATCCAACACTATCACTTCAAGTCTGTAGTGTTTTTACATTGTTTGCTTACACTTTATATGATTCTCTTCATAAATGCAAAGTACCACTATTGATTCTTTTTTTCTTAAGCAATAACATAAAGGTGTTTTCATTTTCAGATTTCTTAAAATTAAAGAATCTGGGAATTATAAGAGCCTGAAGAGTAAATCTTTTGTTCCACTGATCCTGACATTATAGTTTGAAGATTTTCAGTCAATAATTTAAAAGTTGAACAATTAAAATAATTTATGTCTAATTGTAGAAATTCTCTCTCTTGTAAATAATATCTACAGGAAAATAAGACTAGGAGAAAAATATTCCATGAACACATTAACAGTATCAATATTACAGCCTTACTGAATACTCACTAGATGCTTAAGTGCCTTACATGCATTATCTAGTTTAATGCTCATAGTGAGCATATGAGGTGGCACTATTACCATGGCTTCTTTTGAATGTGGAAGCAATCTCAGAAAGGTTAAGTGACTTGACTAAAGTTACACAGCTAATACATAGCAGAGGTGGAGTCAGGAACCCAGGTCTGTCTGACTCCACATCCCATGTTCTTAAGCTCCTGGTTTTCTGTATCCTGTGACAACAGAAACACTTGCATATCTATTGTCTATCTAAATTATAAGCTCTTTCATAAATCTTTACATAAGTCAGTTTTAAAAATTCAGGAAAACTAAGAAATTAAAAGAGCTTACCTAAAGTGCTTTCACTTGGCTCATTAGGGTTTGGAAGATTACAGAGCAGACTGTGCACATCTCCTCGACGACGATGTTGTCTATGTCTCCTCCGATACTGAAATTCAGCATATTCCTGCATAAACCAAAGGTTATAAAATACAGGAGAGCATGCAATTTTTAAAATGCAAATAAAACAAACTACATACTTTTTTCCCTAGGGGAAAAAGTTTGTGATTTTTAATACACAGATTATAAAATCACCTGGCTTTATTAAAAAAAGAAACTTCAAGTTTTGCCATGCCAAGGAAATGGAAAGGGTAAAATGGAAAAAGAAAATGCTCAGATAGTCATTATAAACTGTCTGGATAAATTGGGAATACTTGCAAGCCCCATTATAGATTATGTCTGAACCTTATCTCATATACCTGGTGATTTCAAGGGTCATGTTATCTAATATTATAAATAATACCACAATCATTTTACTAATATAAGTTAAGCTCTCCTTAGTGGTGGATTTTAAAAAGTGGCTGTAACATTAAAAAAAAAAAAAAAAAAAAAGAACAAAAACAACAAAAAAGAACACACTGTTAAGTACTTGCCAAATTGTTGGATTTTTTTTGAGCTGCAGTCTCACTCTGTTGCCCAGGCTGGAGTGCAGTGGCAGGATCATGACAATCTAGGCTCCTGGCAGCCTCGACCTGGGCTCAGACGGTCGTTCCTCTTCAGTCTCCTGAGTAGCTGGGACTACAGGCATGCGATGCACTACCATGCCTGGCTAATTTTTATTTTTATTTTTTCGTAGAGACGAGGTCTCACTATGTTGCCCAGGTTAGTCTTGAACTCCTGGGCTCAAGCAATCTGCTTGCCTTGGCCTCCCAAAGTGCTGGGATTACAGGTGTGAACTACCATGCCCAACTAGGTTTTCTATTCTTTGGGACTACTAAATACCATACTCACAAATCAAATGGCTAGATTAAAAGAAAATGGTTAGGTTAGCTTCAAAATAAGATATCTGATTTCCTTCCTATATTAGCCAATATGTAGTGTTATCTACAACACAGGCAGGGGAAGTGTTTTCTATTTGGCACATGGGATGAACACAGACTTAGGCAGATGTCCTGAGTCTATTTTACATTTGTGGCAACAGTTTAAAGTGTGTTTGCTATCACCAGAGGCTACAACTGGGGACTACCTGCCATTACCTGGGTATAAAAAGAACTTTTCCAGATTTCAGTGAGAGAAGAAAAGAAAATGGACAAGAGGCCAGAGTGCATGACACCAACATAAAAAGGCTATTTTTGAGAATCATTACAGAATATTTCCGTGATCAACATCCGTAATAAGATGCTCAAGGTTTATGATTACCCCAGTTATCCTAGAATATGCTAATAGTGCAAGTACTAGGAATAAGTGAAGACATTTTATATCACAGTACAACTTCAATATCACATCACACTAGTTAAATTTACATAAATTCCCTCATTTATCTAAGTAGTTGAACTCTTAATAAGAAATGAGAGGTATCCTACCAGGTTAGAAAACAATGAATGAGAGATACTTCAAGTGCCCTGAGGAATTATGTTGTTTTTCTAGTTTCTTGCTGAGCTGGGGCATCGCTTCCTCTTCTCCTAGAGGCCCATTATCTCAAACCAAATGATTGCTTATGTATCATCATGGCTCAATGGATCACCGAGGACCACATTTCTTAGACAAAGATGGTGTGAACAATGTATCTCAATTCAAGGTTTATATTTAGGGAGAACTTGCTTAGTTTATAAGTTTGATAATGGTACAAAGTTATTATGAACTACATAAACTATTACTGACTACAGGCTATACATATGTCCAATTTAAGAAAACTAAATGGTTTAAAAATGAGTATAAAAGAAACATTATATTTCTTGTATTATTCTGACAGAAAACTCTCCCATAGCATTCTCTCACAATGCAACAGGTGTAAAAAAATTGTTTTCATAAAATTAAATTGATCTGAAAGTTTCCAAGGATTTCTAAGATCTTCAAGTATGATAAGGCTTTAGCCAGGATGCTCCAAATGGTTTGAGAGTGTGAAGGCTACAGAGAAGATGGAAAAAACTCTAGGAATTTTAGGGGAAAAGGTGCTAGTTTTTTTTTTTAAATGATAGCATCAGTTTTGTCAGGGACTTAATCTTCCCAGAACATCCATGAAGTATTATCATACACATTTTAAAGATGAGAAATCAAGGAAGAACATAACCTAAGGTCTCATAAGTTTCAGAGTTAGAACCTGAACTCAGGTGTCCTTCAGATTTAAAACTTTGCTCTCTACATTAAGTCTCATTGCCTTAAAAGTGGCACAAAATAAATATCTATGTTTGTCAATGACTCATTCAATTTAACTAAAGAATAGGAATTAATGTCATTGAAAAATTATAAATTCAACCTAAAAGTCTACTGGAGTTTGGTAATCTTATCTTCTTCCCAAAGTGTATACTAAAGCAAAGAGTTGTTTTTAAAAAACATAATTTTGGCAGTTTTTCGATAACCATACATACACAGAATCTGGAAGTCTCATGGTGTGGTAATTCTTTAGATTTGGAATAAAGTTTACATAAAAGCTTAGTGGTTCAATGTGTCAAAGACTTTTTTTTTTTTTTTTGAGTTGGAGTCTCACTCGGTTGCCCAGACTGGAGTGCAGTGGCCGCTCCCGGCCACCACAGCCTCGCCTGCTGGGCTCCAACGATCCTTCCGCCTCAGCCTTCCGAGTAGCCAGAATTACAGGCATGTGCTATCACGCCCGGCTGATTTTTTGATTTATTGTAGATATGAGGTCTCGCCAAGTTGCCCAGGCAGGTCTCGAACCCGTGGGCTCAGGCAATCCACTCACCTCAGCCTCCCAAAGGCGTGGGATTATAGGCTGAGCCACCGAGCCCGGCGTCAAAGACTTTAAAAAAAACAAAGTAAATGAAATAATTTTTGTCAAATTTGTCAATTCATAAAAAATAAATTTAAGTGACAGTCATATTAGCAGGACTTCAGTATTTCAGGATTCCTAAAGTTATTGTCAGAGCCAGAACCACAAATTAATCTATACATGATTATGAATACACTGATAAGCGCTTTATTTTTGCTAAATTGTGTTTCTACTCTTTTTTTTTTTTTTTTTTGAGTTGGGGTCTCACTCTGTCACGTAAGCTGGAGTACAATGGCACGATCACAGCTTGCTGCAGTTTTGACCTCCTGGACTCAGGAGATCCTTCTTCCTTAGCCTCTAAAGTAGCAGAGACTACAGGCATGCACCACCACGCCCAATTTTTTGATTTTTTGTAGAGATAAAGGTCTTACTATGTGGCTCAGGCTGGTTTTGAACTTCTGGGCTCAAGCAATTCTCTCACCTTGGCTTCCCAAAGTTCTGGATTGCAGTGTGAGTCACTGCACCTGGTTTTTTTTTCCCCTATAATTGAAATTTGTGTATTCTTCCTTTTAGATGGACATTTTTAAGAATATCTCCAAAGTTGTAATTATATTATAACATATATAATAAGTATAGGATCAGATAAAAAAGATTCAAGCCGGGCACAGTGGCTCATGTTTATAATCTCAGTACTTTGGGAGGCGGAGGCGAGAGGATTACCTGAGCCCAGGAGTTTGAGACCAGCCTGGGCAACTTGGTGACAACTTATCTCTACAGTAAATAAAAAATTAGCCAGGCATGGTGGTGTTGCACACCTGTAGTCCCAGCTACTTAGAAGGCTAAGGCCGAAGGATTCCCTGAGCCTAGCAGGTTGAGGCGGCGGTAGCCGTGATTGTGCCACTGCACTCTAGCCTGGGTGATAGAGTGAGACTCCAACTCAACAACAAAACAAAACAAAAACAATACACATAGTTTTAAAATAAAAATTCCATTAATATATAATTAATAAAAGTTTTGGCAATTTCAGTGAATTTAAAATTTCCATATCGGGGCTCTAAGCAAAAATTGTTTTCTCAAATCAATATTTTCTTGGTGTATCTATCGATACAAAAGACCACAAAGAGATTGCAAGTATCCTCAGCAGCTGAAAAGAGGAAGTATTTGATTTAAATAAGCTATAGTCATGTCAGGATAATAATTTCACTTTCAGTTGCAGATAACAAATGGACTATAAATGATAAACAAAGGTTTCATCATTTGTCCTATCTTCTTCTAAGAATTAAGTTGAATGATTATCATAATATAAGCATCAAATGGTATACTATTTTATAAAGAGCACAGATGGAAAGAGAGAAGAAAATAAAACGGTTAAAACCATTTTAAAATCAGACTCAACAGTGACAGTGGCAATTCAAATCTCAGAAAACAGCTATGTGATTAAGATTTTCACTCTACATCTTACAGATATTCGCCACAACTGCTATTTGCAATGTTAGTAGTTTAGACTTTCTGTATTTTAAAATGGTGTAGGAACAACAATAACGAAAAAATAAGAGTGCAAAAGTCTTAAAGGGAAGCAGAAAGCAACCAAGCAAAGCATTTCTTTCTGCATAAACATTATTAATGTCAAGTTTTCCACCTTAGCAAATGATGCTCTCAGGTTGTTATAGTAACTTGGAATATGTTTTAATATTGTTTCAGATTGTAACAATATTACAACTAAAAATACTTTTTTTTTTTAGAGTTGGGGTCTTGACTCTGTTGCCCAGGCTAGAATGCAGAGGCAAGGTCTCGACCTGCTGGGCTCAGGTGATCCTTCTGCCTCAGCCTTTCAAGTAGATGGGACTATAGACGTGCACTACCACACCACCAGGTACCTGGGACTATAGGCGCATGCCAGCATGTCCAGCTAATTTTTATTTATTTTTATTTTATTTTACTTATTGTAAAGACAAGGTCTTGCCATGTTGTCCAGGCTGGTTTCCTGGGCTCAGGCATCCTCTCACCTCTACCTCCCAAAGTGTTGGGATTATAGGCATGAGCCATCATGCCCGGCCTAGAAATACACTTCTAATAAATAAAATCAACATCTCTATTAGCCAATTAGAAGATATTTTCTAAAAATTTATGCTATAAATTTGCCTTAATTCTAACTGTTTAGTAATTAAAAATAATACAAGGGGAATGCATTTAACACTGTGATGATACTCCAGTTCCATAAATAGCAAACGGAGGCTCTGTTAGGGTCTTTTTGTCACAAAAGAAAGAGAAAGCATTGCTGATCACCTCAGTAGGATATTTATAATAGATGAGGGTGCAAATACAAGCAGGACTACAATAAGGAAAAAAACCCGCAGAACAATTACCTCAGGTGATGCAAATCCTAAATATTCCCAATCCCATGTTCCACCAGCAAAGCTACAAAGAAATTAGACATACCATTTGATTTAATATCAGTACCACAAAGTATACATAATCAGACCCTTGCCCTTTGAACTTTATTTTTATTCTTCTGCTTGGAACTTGCTTAACTAAAATAGATAAACTATTAAAATATAATTAAAATGATACTTCATTATTTCTTTCAAATTTGAAGGTGCTTTATGTTTTTGTAAAACAGTGAAAAAAAATCATCATAAAGTATTTTATGACTGCTTCTATTTTTATTTTGTACAAGTATTTACTTATAAATATATAAAAATAGGATCAAAGGAATTTCTAATACTTATAATTATGAAAGATAATAAAATATGCTTCAGTTTATAATGGCAGAAGCAGTATAAGTATGTAAAATAAAGCAACCCAAAGCTACCTGCTCTTTAATTGATGAATTTGGCTTACTAGGTAACTTTATTAATACCAAATTTCTCATTTCTTCACAACTTTTTGTTCTATTTTTTTTGTTTTCTTTGAGTTGGAATCTCACTCTGTTACCCAGGCTGGAGTGCAATGGCACGCTCACGGCCACAGCAGCCTTGATCTGCTGGGCTCAGGTGATTTTTCCGCCTCAGCCTTCCAAGTAGCTAGAACTACAGGCATGTGCCACCATGCTCAGTTAAATTTTTGATTTATTGTAGAGACGAGGTCTCGCCATGTTGTTCAGGCTGGTCTCGAACACCTGAGCTCAGGCAATCCTCTCACCTATACCTCCCAAAGTGCTGGGATTACAGGCGTGAGCCACCGTACCCGACTCTTCACAAATTTTTAACACAAAAATACAAATACGACCATAACAAGTTGGCAAAGTTTCCAAATTCTACATACTATGTTTATGACTACCATATCACTACATATGAGAGGGTACCCAAAAAACTCAGAATTATTTTTTGGAGGGTCCTTGTAGTACAGGCTTCCCCTGCTAGGTAAGTGTTCTAGGTACTCACAGGCCTCTGTGTACCAGTTAGTGTTGTTGTGAGAGGCTGCATTCAGCTTCAGTGAATTCTGCTTCAAGATTCTTTCAATGTGTTTGCCCATTTCATGATGAGTGGTTTACAAGTGCACCTGCCCACACTATGCTGCATGTTTAGCAGTTTTTGACCGAAAAATGGCATGACCCCCATGTCCCACCCTCCCTATTCACCCAATCTTGCCGCAAGTGACTTTTTTTCTGTTTCCCTAGATGAAAAAAGTCCTCAAAGGGAAGTTTTGACAATGTGGAAGAGGTGAAATAAAAAATGGCAGAATCACTAACAGGAATCAAAATTGAAGAGTTCAAAAACTATTTTGGGCAGTGGAAAAAGCATCTCAATATGTGTATTACATCAAATTAAGAGTATTTTGAAGGCGACTGAGGTTTAAACACATAAGAATAAATACACAATTTTTAAATAAATAAACTTTTTCTGGGTCCCCCTCGTACAGTTTTGTGTGTGTGTTATGTATATATGTATACACACATATATATAGATTTGAGTTATGAGTTCAACTGAAGTGTGAAATAATCAACCAGTCTAATTTAATCTGAGGAGCTACACTATGACAAATAATTAAAAAAAAGAAAAACAAAACGAAAAACCCCCAAATAGTGCTGAGGAAAAAAATTTACCAAAAAGAAGTTAACATATTTTTATCAGCTACCCATAAGTAACTTTCAGAAATATAAAAACCCTTGCTGACTTAATAAAACAGACCTGCTGACATCAGAGGCTGGAGCCAGGGTGATGTCCACAGCACACATTCTTTTTACCTGCGCCTTGGAGCTTCCGGTGAGTCTGCAGGAGCAACTCCTCGAGCCACAGACGCCAGGAACTCTTGCCTCTTCTGTTGTACAAGGCATGCTGCTTTGATGATCTTGTGACGAGGTGTGCGGAGGTAAGGCCTGTTGACCTTTTGGGCAAGGTCTTCAGTCACCATTTCTAGATCTGTCTATGGTAAGAAGAGAGAGAGGGAAAAAAAAGATTGTAGGCTGAATGGGTTAGTCAATAGCCAATCCAGAGTCTACCTGGTTTCTCAGTTAAATCTCACTCTTTGGAAGTCATAAATTAATTCAAATTTTGAAATAACTTCATATTTAACATGCTTTCAATTTTGTACATTTTTTCCAGGTTACAAAAGAAAAAGAAAGACATACATAAAGTCATCTTAAATTCAGGAAAATAGCACTTATTTGATAGGCATTTATAGCAACGTAGCTGGTACAGATTACAAAGAAGTAGTGAGTATAGCAGATGTCTACAAGAATTTATAATTAGTTTATGTGAAAAAAGAACACATTTTAAGGCACTGTACAAGCAAATGCATGATGCTATGGTTCAGACTATATGTAAATGCTGAAGGAATTGGAGGCAAGGCAAGACCACTGTGACTGGGGTTAGGTCTGTAAAGCTTTACAGAGAAAATAAATATTGAGGCTTCAAAGAAATATAGAACATACATTAGCAAAGGGCAGCTCAAAGATGACATGAAAACCAATGAGAGAAAAGTTTGGTGACTTTAAAAGAAGAACAACGTACAATGAAGTTTATAGCTATAGCGATACCACTAGGCTTAGGTGTTTTTATTTTTATTTTTTATATTTAGTTGGAGTCTCCTTCTGATGCCCAGGCTAGAGGGTAGTGTCACGTATGCTCAGAGCAACCCCAGCGTCGACCTGCTGGGCTCTGGTGATCCTTCCATCTCAGCCTTCCAAGTAGCTGGAACTATAGGCGTGCGCTACCACGAACGGCTAATTTTTTATTTACTGTAGAGACAAGGTCTCGTCAAGTTTCTTGGGCTGGTCTCGAACCTGCAGGCTCAGGTAATCCACTTGCCTCGGCCTCCCAAAGTGCTGGGATTACAGATTGAGCCACAGAGCTCGGCCGTATTTTTTAAATACTGTAACTTTTCAAGTTATACTTTTAAAACAAACTGGTAAATAGCAATTTTCTCACCCAGTATGTAATCCAGTTTGTTTCATCTTTGATGACAAAATTCCTAACTACATAATCAGAAATAGGCCAGATTTCAATCTCAGCCAGTTTAAAACAAATAAATACTGGAGGAAAGAAATGCTTGCATAGCTCAGGACTCACTAAGTTCTGCAGAGTGACAAATTTAAACATAAAGAAAATTTCAGTTTATTACTGTTAACTTTTATTTTTAAAAAATTTTAAAAATGAAAAATAGAATTGTTTTGCTAATCACACCCAAATTAAATTAAACTTAGCTAAGTGGCAGACAAAGGATAAGATCTGCTTTTCATAAAAACTGCTACCCATTTAAATGTGATTTAAAAAAGATATCTTACTTGCATTAGTTCAAAAATTTCTTTCTTTGTGCTTTTGGGTTCCAAGAAAAATCCATATGGATAAGAACACTTGAGAATACGTCGAGTTTTTAAGAGCACATGAACTGCATCTTCAATGAAAGTGGTATCTGGGCAGCCTCCTTCAGCTATGAAGTAAGTGAGGTGCAGTGAATCTTTATTTGCAAATATGCTATTATAACATAAATAATTATGCCTCCCTCCCTCCCTCCCTCCCTTTTTTAAAAAGAAGAATCCTTAAGAAGAACGAAGCTGTTAGAATTAGCTGTGTAATACTTACTTGAACCAGACTACAAACCTACATAAAAGATGCATGTGTGATGAAGCACAAACCCCTGCAGCCCAGGAGCACTGATGGGAGTCATAAAGGAATGCGTACACTCCTCCTGACTCTAGTCTCACTCTATCAGTAACCAAATCTAGCTTTAGGGCAGATGAAAGGTTCCATGCTTCACCAAATTTTTCATATTGTCCTTAGGGGAACTTTGCTGCTTAACAATGGGAACTAATGCCTTTGTTAAATTGCTTGCCCCCCCCAAAAGTCTAATTATAATTATGCCTCGATGCAACATTTTTAGGAACAACTAGATAACCAATGCTAGTAAATAAAAAACTTCAGAGAAAGAAAGGGAGAAAGAGAAGGAGAAGGAAGAAGAAGAAGGAAGAAGGAAGAAGGAGGACGGAGGAGGAAGGAAAAAGGAAGAAGAAGGAGGAGGCGAGATATTAAGAGTCTTAATATTTGAGACTCTTCCTACCCAAAATACCGTGACATTCTGGCTTTTTGCTTAACTACAAAAAAAAAAAAACCTCCAGAAATTAAACAGTAGACTCTAAATTCATAAATACTGTTGAAAAATCAGATTATTCTGTATGTCTATAGAAATAAATTACATATATATATATATATATACACAAACTGATGTACAGATCACTCTAAAATTTTTGAGAACATTCAGTTCCTAGGGTCAGTATTCAAACTAAGGTGTAAAAAACCAAAATAACTTTCCCCTATTTATGACATGTGTGAGAAATACGTGACATTTTATTTCTTCCTTTCTAATTGTTATTATCTTTTCACTCTATTTCATATCTCACTATGGCACCCGGAACCTCAAAATGTTGAAAAGAAATAATAATTCAGATCTACAAACATTTATGGAGTGTTACTGTGTGTTAGACACAGTTTTAAACCCTAGGGATACATTAGTACCTAACAGAAAAAAAAAAAAATCTCTGCTGAAGAACTGTAGAACTTGTGAGGGCTTTTTCCTTTCAATTTTTACTGTAAATAATATTTCAAGAGTCTGATATGTGTGCGATGTAGTTAAATCATTAATAAAGTCTAAGAACTAACAGTTACCAAGGAGACTAAGCTGCTATTGACACTTTTTCCCCACTCTAATTTATTTAACTTAGGGTACCGTCCTAATTAGGAACTGTCGTTATGAAAAGGATGTTGGTACTCATTATTTTTAGAAACTAGAGCAAACCCAAGTATAATTGATCACATTTTTAGGCTTCAAGTGTTCCTTTCATATACAAGCCATGATTATTTTTAAAGTGTGACTTTTAAAAACAAACATACCAGAACCTGTATTATGTGTGGTCATTGTGGGATATTATATTCTAAAGATGCAACAAATAATTCATATTTTGAATATTCCTTTAGGACCCACAAGTTAGTCCTTCCTCAGAGCTTTCCTCTTTGACCCCAAAGTTCATTATTTACCAGTCGAATGACTGCTACCCAAAGTGCCCTTGACTTCTACTCCATTAGCCACTCTGCTAAATTTTCTCAATAACTTTTGGGTATTCAGTTACATGACAATTGGGCAGCATGTGAATCTTGCTGCTTTGAATAATTAGGGCCCATCCACTTTTTTCCACATTGCAGATAACCAGCAGTGGCATAGAGTAAGCAAAATAATGTGTTTTGACTGGCAACAGCACAGGCTGCAGCAAGAGGAGCACGCTAGGTGCTGGGAGTCACAGAAGCCTCATCTGTTAAGCTGCACTTAGGGTTTCAGATGACTCAATTCAGCACCAGAACAAGCTAATGAACAGAACGTGTTCCTTCAAGGGCCTAACCTACCAGTGAAGTGACTTAAACGTTGAAGGATATTTTATATTAATTATCACACATACCACTGATAACTTACTTTCTTTGAGAGCTCTACTCAATTGTTCCATCTTTTCTTTGGCTGTTTTAAGAAGTCGTTGTTCTAACTAAAGGAACAGAAATAAATAATGTAAACTATTCTCTTTACTTATTCACAGAAGTGTAGTTCAGTTCATTTGAAATTATTTGGGACATACCTGATAACTATGCTCATGGTTTTTAAATCTTGTGTAATAGTGCATAAATCTGTCGAGTTCCTGAAATCGTTTATGTTTTTTCTCAGCCTAAGAAACAAAAGGACATAAATGACTTCTATAAAAACTAGTAGTTTAAAAGTGTTTTTTGGGGGATAATTAAAAAGTTTTATTAGTAACATACAGTATTGCATTTAGATTTGATTATTTCAGAGAAAACAATAGCCAATACATTTTAAAGGCAACCAGAACAAAGTCTTGCATTTGTATTCTCTATGATAAATCACTGAATTTACAATTTCAAAGTTTAAGGCAAAGATGCTTTTCAATCACTACATTTATCAGATCTTTAATGTTTTATTATATAGTTTATTGCTTTGGACTAAACTGTGTCCCCCCAACATCAATATGTTGAAGCACTAACCCCAGTGTGACTGCATTTGGAGATGGGGCCTGTGAAAAGGTAATAAAGAGTAAATAAAGTTGTGAGTGTGGGCCCTATTCTGATGGGGCTGGTTCCCTTATATGAAGGGCAAGGGTTACCAGAGGTCAATCTCTTTCGTTCCTGGCCATGTGAGAAAACAGTGAGAAGGTGGTCATATGCAAGACAGGAAGAATATTCTTACAAAGAACCAAATTGGTTGACATCTTGATCTTAGACTTCCCAGTTTCCAGAACTGTGAGTTTCCAGAAACTTCTGTTTAAGCCACCTAGTCTATAGTACTGTTATGGCAGCTCAGCAGATTAAGGCACTTATCATATGCTACCATGTAATATTATATTGCTGACATTATGCTAAGACTGTTTTTGGGTCTTTAAAAAGGCAGGCTGGCACATGTCAGACTTTTCAAATCTTCACCAAAATAAGAAAAACTGCTTAAAGATTATTTCAAGTATGTTCAATTTAAGATCTCATTAAGGTGAAGATAGGAAAAAAAATACAAAATAATTCCAATGGCATAAAGTGGCTTAGGCAGAGGTTTGGTGTAATTAGTTCTCTTACCTCTGCAGTCATTTCCTTGGATTGTTCCTCCACATGCTGAATGACTTCATAGCGAGTACACCTGTAATAACCTCCAGTGGAAGAACTATGTTTTTTCCATTCTTCTAGGCAAATCCAGCAGAAGTCATACTTGCACTTCAAAATAAAACATATATGCAAACATTTCCCCAAGTTAATATGCAAATTATTTTCTGCTTTATAGCTAAGCAATTTGTCAAGATTAAATAATCCTGCCTGTGTGGCCAGGAACAAGACTTCTCAAGACATGCCCTCCTCATGTTTCCTCTGGAGACCTCATCTATACTATAGAAAGACGTGGGGGTAGTTTAAAATATTGCTTATAAGGATAGATTAAATCATAACATTATGATCACTGAACATATCAATAAGATATGCTTTCCAAATAATAAAAAGAGATGCTGACAAGTGTTTCATTTTTCAACTACAGAGTAATCTGACATTGGTCTATAAAACTTCACCAGTCTATCTGAAAGACCTTTGGCAATTCTGACAAATTGGTTTTGAAACTGGAAATAAGTTTAAAATATCCCTAGGTAGAACAGCTGACATATAACCTGTTTCCCACTTTAAAGAAAATTTTGCTTACTTAGTTACCATAATTATCAAACAATGTCAAAAAGAGCATTCCAGTATGAAAACATCTTTTTCTTTTATGCTTTTGGATTTTTGACGCAGTTAGATTTTCTCATTCCAAGTCTGTGCTGTCTTCTGGTATTTTTATGGGTTATTTTATTTTTTAAAGAAACTTTAAATCTTTGAGCCACTTGGAATTTATTTGGATATACAGTGTGAGCTCAAATTCATTTTTTTCCCCATAGCTACTGAGCTGTCCTAATACTTATGCTTATTGAAAAGCATGTTTCTCCACTGGTTGAAGATGCCAACTTTACCATAAACTAAATTCCTGTGTATCTGTGTTTATTTTCTGGGCTTTCTTGTTCCGTTCATTTGTCTTTTCATGTGTCAGAACCATACTGCGTTAATGAGGCTTTATAATATGGGTTACTATTTGACAAGGCTAATTCCCCCACAATGTTCTTTTTCAGAGTTTTCCTAGTTATTCTTGCTTTGCTTTCCCATATGAACTTTTGAATTAGTTTACCAAATTCAGAAATAAGACCTGTTGATGTTTTTATTGGAATCTTTCTAAGAACTTGGTTGACATTTCATTTGTCATCTTTTGTGTCCCACAGAGGGTTTGTATTTTTCATGTTTTGTATATTTCTTGTTAAGTTTATTTCTAGACAGATGAGGTTGTCCAGTATATATTCTATTTGGTTTTTGTTGGTACACATGAAGGTCATTACTTTCTGCATAGTAGTTTTGTGCTCTGATGCTTAACTGAATTTTTGTTGTTTGTGGCAGTTTTTCAGTTGATTCTTGTGGGTCTGCCAGGTATACAATTATGCCATCTGCTAAAAGTGGTAATTTTATCACTTTGTTTCTAGTTTTTACATCTCTGATTTCTTTCTGTTAATTATGTTGACCAGTATCTTCAGTCCAATGTTACTAATACTGGCAACTGCATCCTTATTTTGTTTTTGAGTTTAGTGAGAATGCCTCGTTTCCCCAATAAGTATGCTAACTTTGGGGCTGAGGTAATTCGTTTTTATCAGCCCAAGGAAGAATTCATTCTACCCCTCCTTTGGCAAAAAATCAATGACCATTCTTTACAGAACATTCAGGGTAAGGAATACTTAACCTGTATTCCTAGAATAAACTCTACGTGGTCAATTAACTCCTCCTGCCCCCCCCCTTTTTTAAGTTGGAATGTTACTCTGTCGCCCAGGCTGGAGTGCAGTGGCATGCTCATGGCCACCCCAGCGTTGACCTGCTGGGCTCTGGCAATTCTTCTGCCTTAGCCTTCCAAGTAGTCAGAACTATAGGCATGTGCTACCACGCCTGGCTAATTTTTGATTTATTGTAGAGATGAGGTCTTGCCAAGTTGCCCGGGCTGGTCTCAAACCCACGGGCTCAGGCAATCCACTTGCCTCCGCCTCCCAAAGTGCTGGGATTACAGGCTGAGCCACCGAGCCAGGTTGGTCAATTAACTGTTGAATGTGCTCTGCTGGGTTATGTTTGCTAATATGTCTGGATTTTTTTCCCCCCACCTCTAATACCTTATTTAGGACTTCTGCTTGTTCTTTTTTAAGATTAATCTATAGCTTCTTAAAAAAATTAAAAAAAGTTTTTTTGAGTTTGAGTCTCACTCCGTCGTTCAGGCTGGAGTGCAGTGGCAAGTTCACCAGTACCCCAGCATCTATTTGCTAGGCTTAGGCAATCCTGCCTCAGCTGTCCAAGTAGCCAGAACTACAGGTGCCCGCTACCATGCCTGGCTAATTTTTTAATTTATTGTAGAGATGAGATCTCACCAAGTTGCCCAGGCTGGTCTTGAACCTCTGGGCTTAGGCAATTCTCTTGCCTCGGCCTCCCAGATTGCTGGGATTACAGGCTTGAGCCACTGCACTCAGATTTTTTTTTTTTTTTAAACTCCCAAGACAGTTTAAATAACATTGGAATTTCCTGTTCCTGAAAGGTTTGATAAAATTCTACTGTGTATCCATCAGGGCTCATTGCTTTAAGAATTAGTGTAAGATGGAGATTTAAAAAAAACTGTTATTTTTCCTTCTATGGGAATGGATTTATTTATATCTTTTTGGGGCCAGTTTTCATAAATTACAGGTTTACAGCAACTCTGTGTGGAGCAAACCTACTGGTCATTTTTTCCAACAGCATGTGTCTATTTGTCACATTTTGGTAATTCTCACAATATTTAAAACATTTTCATTATTGTATCTGTTATGGTCATCTGTGATCAGTGATCTTGATGTTACTATTGTAATTATTTTGGGGTGTCAAAAGACAGCAAACTTATTCAATAATGTGTGTATTCTGACTTCCCAGGCTGGCCACTCCTCCATCGCTGTTCCTCTCCTCAGGCTTTCCTATTCCCTGAGACACAATACTGAAATTAGGCCAGTTAATAAGCCCCCAGTGGCCTCTAAGTGTTCAAGTGAAAAGAAGAGTTCTATATCTCTCACTTTCATTCCAAAGCTAGAAATGACTAAGCTTAGTGAGGAAGGCACGTCAAAAGCTGAGTTAAGTTGAAAGCTAGGCCTCTTTCACCAAACAAGCCAAGTTGTGAGTACAGAGAAAAAGTTCTTGAAGGAAATTAAAAGTGTTACTTCAGTGAACACACGAATGGTAAGGAAGTAACACAGTCTTATTGCTGAAATGGAGAAAGTGTGAGAGGGCTGGATAGAAAAATCATACCAGCCACAATAATCCTTCAAGTTAAAGCCTGATTCAGTGCAAGGCCCTAACTCTCTTCAATTCCAAGAAGGTTGAGAGGTAAGGAAGCTGCAGAAAAGTCTGGAGTTAGCAGAGGTTAGTTCCTGAGGTTTAAGGAAAAAAGTTGTCTCCATAGTATCAAAATGTAAGGCAAAGTGATGGAGAAGATCCAGCTGAGATAATGGGTGAAGGTGGCTACATCGAACAACCGACTTAATGTAGACAAAACAGCTTTCTATTGTAGAAGACAAGATCTAGGAATTTCTTTCTTTCTTTTTTCTTTTTTTTGAGTTGGAGTCTCACTCCGGCGCCCAGACTAGAGTGCTGTGGCACACTCACGGCCGGCCCAGCGTCGACCTGCTGGGCTCAGGCAATCCTTCCACCTCATCCTTCCAAGTAGCCAGAACTACAGGCATGCACTACCATGCCTGGCTAATTTTTTGATTTTTTTTTATTGTAGAGATGAGGTCTTGCCAAGTTGCCCAGGCTGACCTTGAACCCGTGGGCTCAGGCAATCCAAAGTGCTGGGAGTTCAGGGTTGCACCACCACGCCTAGCCATGAATTTCATAGCTACAAAGAATTCAGACCCTGGCTTCAAAACTTCAAAGGACAGGCTGACTCTCTTGTTAGGGGCTAATGCAGCTGGTGACTTTAAGTTGAAGCCAATGCTCACTTACCATTCTGAAAATCCTAGGGCCATTTAGAATCATGCTAAATCTACTCTGTGCTCAGTAGATGGAACAACAGTCTAATGACAGTACATCTGTTCACAGCATGATCTATAGAGTATTTTAGGCTCACTGTTGAGACCTATTGTCCAGAAAAAGTAAGCTTTTCAAAGTATTACTGGCTCATTGACAAAGCACCTGGTCACCCAGAAGCTTTGATGGAGACGTACAGGAGATCAGTACTGTTTTCACACTGGCTAACACAAGAGTCATTCTGCAGCCCATGGACAAAGAGCCCATTTCAACTTAGAACTCTTATTGTTTAACAAATACATTTCATAAGGCTACAGCTGCCACAGACAGCGATTCCTCTGATGGATCCCAGCAAAGTTAACTGACAACCTTCTGGAAAGTATTCACCATTCTAGATGCCATTAAGAACATTTGTGATTCATGGGAGAAGGCTGAAATAGCAACATTATCAGGAGTTTGGAAGAAGCCGATTCCAACCTTCATGTATGACTTTGAGAGGGCTCAAGACTTCAATGGAAAACTCACTGCAGATGTTGTGGAAGTGGCAAAAGAACTAGAATTACAAGTGGCAACGTGACTGAGTTTCTGCAATCTCATGATAAAACTTGGGACAGATGAGAAGTTGTTTATCACAGATGAGCAAACAAAGTGGTCTCTTGTGATGGCATCTATTCCTAGTGAGGATGCTGTGAACATTGTTGAAATGACAACAAGGAATATAGAATATTACATAAACATAGTTGATAAAGCAGTGGCAGGGTTTGGGAGGACTGACTCCAATACTGAAATTTCTACTGTGGGTAAAATGCTGTTAAACAGCATCACAAGCTACAGAGAAATCTTTTGTGAAAGGAAGGATCAATCCATGTGGCAAAATTCATTGTTGTCTTATTTTAAGAAATTGCCACAACCACCCCAACCTTCAGCAACTACTACCCTGATCAGTCAGGACCATCAAGACTGAAGTAAGACATTCTACCAGCAAAAAGATTATGACTTACTGAAGGTTCAGATGACTATTAGCATTTTTTTAGCAATAAATATTTTAAAATTAAGGCATGTACATTTTTAAAAGACAGTGTATTGTACACTTAATAAGACTACAGTGTAGTGTAAACATAACTTTTACATGCACTGGAAAACCCAAAACATCGTGACTCATTTTACTATGGAATTTGCTTTATTGCAGTGGTCTGGAACCAAACCCATAATGTCTCTGAGGTATGTCTGTATTTCTCTTATTCTTTATATTGTATATCTGAACTCTGACCTCAGCTTCATAATTTTCTTGATTATGTTAGTTCTGTGGCCTATCCATCTTATTTTTTTGTTCAGAAAACCACTTTTTGGATTATATATTAGTTGTATTGGCTTTCAGTTTTTAAATCATTGATTTCTGCTTAAAAAAATCCCAAAACCTTCTCCTGGTTTTCTTAATTTTTTCCCCAAATTTCTGAGTCATATCCTTACTTCATTCCTGATTTTGAATTGTTTCAAATGAAGAAGGCTATGTATATTTCTGATCATTGGTTTAGCTATGGCCCTCAGGTTCTGATAAAGTAATATTTTCGTTATCTTTGTTTCCTAGGAATTCTTTAATTTCTATTTTTATTTCCTTGTTTATTCAAAAGTTGTCTGATTTAAAATTCCCAAGTGAAAAATCCATTTCTAACTTTATTTAATTTCCATTTTATTCCTTTATGACCAGAGAATGTTGTACTTTTTCCTTTTTCTGGAATGTTACTGAAGGGCTTTTTGGTGATCAATGGTCAATTTATTGTGAATGCTCCATGAGTACTTAAAAAGATGGCAGAGTCCAGATTTTTAGGATAGAGTTTAAATATATAGCAAGCAGATCTACTTTAGTAATTATGGTATTTAACTCCTCTATATCTTTACTAATTTATTGTCTGCGTGATATGTCATGAACAGAGAGCTAAATTAAAATCTCTGTACTCATCTAGTCCTTCTCAACATGCACTTACACAATACATTGTGAATTTGTTTTAAGTTCTGACAGTATGTAAATTTTTCAACTGTCTGGTATAAGCAAACTTTGTGCCTCATTGATACAAGTACCCTTCAATACAGCTTTATTGATTTCTCAAAACAAGTGACAAGACTTTCTATGTATAACAGCCAAATATCACATTTTACAATAGAAAAAACTTTAATATTTTTATTTTTTAGCTGTGGCATATATATAATTTAGTTGCAGCATATGTGTATAGTTTTATAGAGTCGGATTAAGAAAATTACCGTAAGTGATTTAAAACATTTAAGACTACTTAAATAGTTTCTTGAAAATTGTTTAAAAGGAAATAAATAGTGTTTTTAAAAAATAAATGGGCTGGGCTTGGTGGCACATCCTGTAATCCCAGCACTTTGGAAGGCCATGGCGAGTGGATTGCCTGAGCTCGTGGATTCGAGACCAGCCTGGGCAACTTGGTGAGCCCTCATCTCTACAATAAACTGAAAATTAGCCGGGCATGGTAGCACGCGCCTGTAGTTCCAACTACTTGGAAGGCTGAGATGGAAGGATTGCTGAAGCCCGGCAGGTCGATGCTGGGGTGCCATGAGTGTGCCACTGCACTCCAGCCTGGGCGACAGAATGAGACTCCAACTCAAAAAATGAATGAATGAATGAATGAATGAATGAATAAACAAATGTGGTTATTTTTAGAGGACCACTCTTTAAAAATGTTTAATACATTTGATTCCAGAAAGTAAAAGCTGCCTACCGAATCATAATCAACACTGAGGCATTAATAAAGGTATATGATGATTTACTGTGTTAGAACATGGATTCAATTACATATGACGTGTCATTCCACTTACACATTTAAAAGATACTCAGATATACAATTTTGCTGTAGTGAGATTACTATGTTCTAGATAAGTCTTCTGTGTCATTATGGGAAAACTACTTTTCACTTTTTATTGTTCAATACAAACACTTTAGATGGTATATTAAACAAGATGACTAAATTTACATAGCACGTAAGTAAATGTTTCTTTTAAATTCAACAGAAGTTAAGCAACATCTATGTAGGCTGAATTACCTTACATCATAGCCCTATTAATTCATGAAGATATACATTTACTCAATTCATATTTATCAAGTATTTAAAAATGGTAGGTGCTACAAAAGAAATAAAAGTAATGTTGAATTCTGAACAAAAGTAATGTTGAATTTTGAATTAGTTAACTGCTAATTTTTATGACCAATCTATATTTCTTTGCACATCTAGGTAGTCTATGCCAGATTTTCCAAGGGGAGGAGAAACAAACATGATGTTGGAGATAATATCACAGATAGCTGAAGTAAGTTTGGTCCAATCATTTGTTGAACCAATAAGCACTTCTGACTATTCTGTTCATAACACTGCATTAGGCTTTTCTTTCTTCCTCTTAGGGAATCATTATTACTAAGTCAATTCATTTATTTTAATTTTAAAATAATACAGACATGTAAAAATTATCTTGTAATTGCCATTCTTTTGTAAGGATAGGAATAATGATCATTAAGCTTCAAGGTTAAACATCAAGAAGCAATATTTAGAAAGAAGATATTAATATATTTTATTGGAATCTTCTTAACTATTTAGGTTCTTTTCACATTCTAAATTAGAAAAAATTACATTGTCCTCTTAATTTTAAATAATCATTTTTATTCATCAATGATACTTTCAGTGAAAAAGGAAAAAATTAGACTATCATTACAATTTTAAAACAAAAAATGTTCATAAATATAGGAATGAATTAATAAAATGTTTATAACAACATTCTAGAATGTTTGTTTTAAACATATGGTAGTTTCTTTCTGTGCAACTAAGTCAGAAGGGTATGTACTCTGGCTAGTCTTCGGATAGCTAATATTATTTATATTTTCAGCCAAGTGGATCTTTGTTGGCATTTTCATTTCCAATATATTAATAAATTACTTATATAATTGATAGTTTCATTAGCAGACCTAAAGTCTGGTAACAGCTTGGGTTCCCGTATTATATAGACACCTGCAAACTTGCGTCTTTTGGTATCAGTGGGGGATTGGTTTTCAGATTCCCAACTCCATCATGCTCAAGTCTCTGATATAAAATGGTGCAGTATTTGCATATAACCCAAGTACATCCTCCAGTATACTTTAAATTCTCTCTAGATTGCTTATAAAACCTAATATAATAAAAATGCTGTGTAAATAGCTGTTGTACTGTATTGTTTAGGGAATAATGGCAAGTAAAAAACATCTGTACACGTTCAATACAGATGCAATTTTTTTATCCCCCTGAATATTTCTGATCCCTGGTTGGCTGAATCCACAGATCCAGAACCCAAGAAAATGAACCCACAGATATGGAGTGCCAACTGTTTAGACACCTATATGTAGACATTATACGGATTTAGAGTTAGGGGTGGTTGCCTGGGTCTTGGTTTGGACCTTGAGTCTAAACTGTGCTCCAAAACCAGCTTTGCAAGAGATCTTTATAAAGAAACACTTTGTTTATCATTTGCTATTATTAGGTTTGTATATATACAGCTCTCTCAAGACTCACTGGGGGAGGTGACTGGCAGAGAAGAAATCAGGCATTTCTGATTTTCTGGTCAAATACCACAGAATCCTTACTCTTACTTTTACCATTCACTAGAAGTGTAAAGTTTAGTAATATAAATCAACACTTAGTTATTCAATAGAGAATGCAAAATGTAAACGTCTAGAATTCATCTGAAACCTAACAAAGTTTTTATGCTTATAACATTTATCTTTTGGATTGACAATTAAACTAAATTAAGATTTCAACTGCAAAGCATACAAAAGCCTCTTTAACTTCTTACCTTAGCACACTGCATGTGATTGCAGCCTTCATTCTTCTGTATAGGAGACTTACAGTTAGCACAAGGCTTGGAGTTAGTTAACAACCAGAGACAATTGGCAGCATCCTCATAAGCTTCACTAACACCCACAACTTTGGGATATTAAGCACAAACACAAAAATAAATGATTTAGTGTACAACTTTGGGGAAAAAACCTCCAGACTTTTCTTGGCAGGCTGTCTCTCAATTTTAATCATACATTTCTTTTCCTATTAAGAGTCTACGGTAAAAATTTTAAACTATTCTATTTTGAAAAGCATAATTATAAGATAAGGAACTCTATTCCAAAAGACCTATTCACAAAATCTGGTTTAAGGAGATTTTTCCAGAAACTTGTGTCCAAATAAACTGGGAAAGAAAAAAGGCAAAGTTAAAAAGAAAACAGCAACATGTTATTCTATTCTGTTTAACATAACTATTGCATCAGTTCTGGCATGTCTCCCTTTCTTTTCTCTCTTCTTTCTCTAATAAACTTTGCTCGGCAACTTAAAAAAAAAAAACACAAAAAACTATTGCATCAGAGAAGTTATAGAAAGAACAGTTAGAAGTAATTTCTTAAATAGGCCAATTACAAACATAATTATCAGAGACTCTTCATCACAGTGAAAAAGCATTAATAAATATATCAACAGCTTTTTTATCCACGATTATTTTAGATAAACTTAAAATGGATCTGATGTGACATATCTAAAACTAAATTTATCATTTCCCCCAAACCTGTTCTTTTCTTTTTTCCTCATTCTGGCAAAGGATATGATCATCTGCCCAGAGTCAAACCAGAAAGAGTGTGATCTTCAAACCCTTATCTTCCCCTCACTCCTAGCATCTCATTGATTTGACCTCATTCTTTTATCTGCTTCCTCTCCATTCCCAGTTATTACTGCTTTAAGCTACCATCCTCCACACGTCTTGCCTAGACAACTACAGCATAGAAAACCAATCTATTTCCCCAGTTCCTTCAGCTTCCCATCTCCAACAATCTGCTTACACAGTGATACTTAAAAAAAAAAACAACAACAAAAAAACCTCTCCATGTATGTTTTTATTTTTTTTAATTTTCTTTTACTTTTACAAAATATTTTACAGGCCGGGCTTAGTGGCTCAGCCTGTAATCCCAGTGCTTTGGGAGGCCGAGGTGAGTGGATTGCCTGAGCCCGCGGGTTCGAGACCTGCCTGGGCAACTTGGCGAGACCTCATTTCTACAATAAATCAAAAATTAGCCGGGCGTGGTGGCGCGCGCCTGTATTTCCGGCTACTTGGAAGGCTGAGGTGGAAGGAACGCCAGAGCCCAGTAGATTGAGGCTGCAGTGGCCGTGAGTGGCCACCGTACTCCAGTCTGGGTGACAGAGTGAGATTCCAACTCAAAAACAAACAAAAAATTTTACATATTAATGGAGTACATGTGAGTTTGTCACATGCATACAATGTAAAAAGATCAAGTCAAGGTATTTGGGGGTTTCCATCACCTTGAATATTTACCATCTCTATGTGTTGGTATCATTTCAAGTTATTTTAGTTACTTTGATATACATAAAATATTACTGCTAAGTAAAGTCACCCCATTCTCCTATCAAACATCAGAACGTATTTATTCTATCTAACTGCATATTGATACCCATTAACCAACTTCTCTTCAACTCCCCCACCTTCCAACCTCTCCTCTCAACCCCATATTGATCTTTTTAAAATACAAATCTGTTTAAAAGGTTTAGACTGTTCCCTATGGCCTACAACTGACTACCAGATAAAATCCAATTACTCTGGCAAATAATAGAAAGTCCTTTATGATCTGGTCTGTATGGTAAACTTCTCTAACATTCTGTCCTCAATCAATCTTACACTCTTCATCTACTTAAACTCAATTTATTCTACTATAATATAGATCTGCAATCTTAAGAAATGCCATGGTTTTTAAAGATTCTTCATTTTACAGTTTACAAATGTTTCTCCTCAATGAAGATGCATAATTAAATTTTTTTCCAGCAAGAATGTCAGTAATGAAGTTGGTTTTGTTTTTTTCTAGCTGTAACTACACTGGGAAGCACTACATTTTCTTTACTGAAAGAGATGCCAAAAATTCCTTCAAAATCATTCAAAGTGACCCATCCAATCAAGGCTTTGGTTATTTACATGTAGACACTTTCAGAAGAGTGTGGGGTTAGGGGTTAGCCTTATCGTCCAGTCAGAGGAGAAATCAGACCCTTTGAATTTTGAAGTTCAAAAGGAAAAGTTACTCAACTCCCACAACTCCCTAGAGAGGCAAGGGGGACAAAGGTTTGAGATTACTGACCCCAGCTGGGAGTGGCTCTGTATATGAACTCTGAGCAGCTTTTGATGACACCAAACAGTACAGAAGTGGGGCTGTCTTGCTGCAAGGAACCCCAAGTGCTTACCTACTTAAGCTTGTATCAACAATACAACAGCAGCTACTTATTAGGCTGTTTTTAATTTCACATAGCAAAGGGAAACAACAGTAGTAATGAACTGATCAGGCTTCAGTTATAAATCCATTTGGTAGAAGATGGTTTGGTTAGGGTACTGGTGGGGAGAATTCTCAATTTGGTGGAAGACAGAAGTTTCAGAAGAAACTTAGCATACTTACAGTTACAAGGTCTAGTTGTGGAGGCAGTGTTGTTTACAAAGGATATTGTTATAAAGCCTAATCACTAAGTACATTTCACAGTTAACATCCATCCATCCATCCATCCATCCATCCATCCATCCATCCATCCATCCATCCATCCATCCAATCATCCGAGACAAAGTCTTGCTGTGTTGCCTAGAATGGTTTTGAACTCCTAGGCTCAAGCTTCTCCTACCTAGGCCTCCCAAAGTGTTCGGATTACAGGCTTGAGCCACGGCGCCTAGTCTCATTTCACATTTTTTTTGAGTCAGAGTCTCACTCTGTCACCCAGGCTGGAGTGCAGTGGCATGCTCACGGCCACCACAGCCTCCACCTGCTGGGTTCAGGCAATCTTTCTTCCTCAGCCTTTCAAGTATCTGGAACCACAGATATGTTCCATCACGCCCAGCTAATTTTATTGATTGATTGATTGATTGTACAGACGAGGTCTAGCCAAGTTGTCCAGGTTGGTCTTGAAACCTTGGGTTCAGGCAGTCCTCTCGTCTCTGCCTCCCAAAGTGCTGGGATTACAGACGTGAGTCACTGCGCCTGGCCTCATTTCACATTTAAAACATCAAATTGTTGTTTAAAAGTAATGGCCTTCTCCTCCCTCCAGCACCAACATTATTTTTAGTTCAGAGGTTCTAAGATATTCTTATGACCCTTATTGTTCATTGTTATAATACACAAAGCACAAAGCCATTAAAACAAAGCAGCTGTGTGCCCTGCAACATAACAGGTTTTTTTCTCCTACCCTTGGAGAGAATGCTAGGTCCTAACTGCATTCTGGTAAGCTGCATGAAGTAAGTCATGTTCAGTAAATAACCAACTATTACTATGACAAAACCTTAAGTTGGAAAAAATGCCTTTGCTGCTCATTCTCTGAACATGTTTAATTTATACATCTGTCACTTTGTACAAACTGTTCTTATCACTTACATTAACTTCTGAGTTTTTTTCACCCCTACTGACTTTCAAACTCTTCCTTTCACTTCAGTTTCATGTCTGTTATATCTTAATCTTCTTTTCTTAATAATCTAGTGTGCTTGGGTCTCTTTGTAAGAAGAGACCTCCACATATATGCCGTGTATACCATTTTCTAGTTCTTCTATTTTTTTTCCTCTTCTTACTATCAGGATCATGACCATGTGCAAGGACATTCTTTCACAGTTCCACCCATATCTGTTCTCACTAGCCAGCTTATTCTTCTTTCCTAGCAAAAATGTATCTGTGGGTATAGAATAAATAATTCAATTTTAAAATGGTAAGGGAGAACTAAAAATAGTCACCAATTAAAAAACAGTTGCTTTATTATTTCAAATCAGACACTTCTGGCCATTGTCTACTTAAAAGTTAAATAATTTGCTGGACTAATTACATCTTGTGGTGCATTAAATCTTTTAGGCAACTGTTAAGCATATAAGATTTACAACTTAATAAAATTATATCTTCTAACTCTCCTGTACACAACTCCCCCCAACACCTCCCACCTGCATTACCCTGTCTTAAGCCCTCATAGTCAATCACCTGGACATTCTGAAGTTGTCTCAGAAACAGTGTTCTTACCTAGTGTCTCAATAGTCTCTGATTCACCATCTGTACTTCTGCCTGAATGATCTTTCTAGGCAAGGATCTTCATTTATCATTCTACTACTCAAAATTTCTTTTCAGTGTCTCAGGATGAAGTCAGACTTCCTAGGATTGTATATAACCCCCGCTTTGCTCCCAACGCCTGATCTGAACTCCTGCGCGAGCAGTCGTATCTCTTACTTCACCTTCCTGTACTAGCTAAATTACCTGCAGTCCTAAAACATGCCATGCTACTTCACAGTGCTACTTCACCCTGTTCCTGGAATGTCTGTCCTATTCTGGTCCATGTGAAGACCAACTATCAGCTTTCAAGATGCAGTTTAAGCATCAGTTATTTTATAAAGCGTTTCCTATCCCTCTACTAGAGATAACTGACCTCCTCCTTTGCCCTTCCCCTCCTCCACAATTTACCATAGGAACAATGTTCTCGCACAACATTTTTTAACATGTTCTTTGTTAGTTTTGTATATAGCAGTTTCCATCTCAAAAATATAAATTTTAAGAGCACAGAGGGCATCTTAATTTTGTATTTGAACATACAATAGCACTCAAAAAATGTTAAGTAAATAAAATACCATTTAAAATCAACAAATTATTTCTAAGTTTCTTAGCCATCTCTTCTGAGTTTCACATGAGCACTTCTCAAATTCCACTAGACATATCAACATATACGTCCTGCAAAATGTCCACACCCAAACTCATTATTTTCCCTTGAAAGATATTCCTTTATATGAATTTCTTAAGTTTCACTGGTGACATCATAATTTACCCTCTAAACCAAATTAAAAACTCACCTAACTACCTTTGATTTATCTCTTCTTCAGTCCACCCTTCAACAGTCATCAGTTATCTTGATAAAAATAAACTCTCTTATAATGCCACTTTCCTACTTAAATAATGTACTCTATGGCTGATTCTGTTAAAAGGACAAATCCAAACACTTTGGCAGCAACATTCACGATCTGGCAACACCTACCTTTCTAGCCTCATCTCTTGCAAATTTCTCCCATAAACCTTAACCTTAAGTTGAAAGAAATGTAGGTAGGTAGCAATCATTCCTAAAAGAAATACAGATGTTTCTAGCTGCCAAAGCAGAAAAATAAAGCAAATTCGAATCATTTTGCCACATCTGAAGGTGTTACAGGGTGATGGTATTCATCTATCATTCCTGAAAGACACACACATATACACATCCAACATATAGGAGAATATGGAAAATGGGTGGGTATGAAGAGCAATGGCTGGCTACATCTAGCATTCAAGTAAAATGCATCATGAATCTTGGAAACAAGCACTATTTATACAGTGTTTTTTTTTTGAGTAGTTGTCTCACTTTGTCACCCAGGTTGGAGTACAGTGGCATGCTCAAGGCCACCACAGCCTCGACCTGCTAGGCTCAGGAGATCTTTCCGCCTCAGCCTCCCAAGTAGCTGTAACTACAGGTGCCTGCCATCATATCTGGCTAATTTTGTGGTTTATTGTATAGACAAGGTCTCCCAAAGTTGTCCAAGTTGGTCTCGAACTCCTGGGCTCAAGCAATCTTCTCATCTCCGCCTTCCAAAGTGCTGAGATTATAGGCATGAGATACTGCACCTGGCTACACAGATGTTTTTGACTTGGGAAGTACCTAGCACACAGCAGGATAAAAGAGATGGGTTGTAGGGGGAGGGTTAAATGTGACCTCCACTTACTCCATTTATCTTAGGCTGGAAAGGAAGTCTGTTAGAAAACATGGAGCCTGCCCATGATTCCATCTTGCCAAAACACTATGATCCCCAAAAGGATGTTGGTCAGATGAGCGATGTTAAACAGGGGAGCACTAGCATTCAGAAATTCAAAAACCTCTTAAATGAAGACTAAAAAACATATAACCATATTATCTTTTGAATGTTGTTAGGAAATATGTAGCACAGTTATCTAAAATTCCTCTTACGTTCTTCTGGTTTCATTTCTGTTATTTTCTGTAGCCAGTTTTTCCATGTTTGGCAGTCACAAGGCTCATGTGCTTCACCAAGGCACTCCCTAATGAAAACATAGAAAATACAATGAAATATTCTTCATCAACATCAAGGGGAAAAAAATGGGTAGGAAGTACTCTTTCAATTTTAAAGTTGAAATAGCTAAGAAGGCACGGTGACTAATAAGAGATGAAGCATTTCAATATAGGAATTGGAGATATGATTCAAAGCTTGATATTAACAGGCCAGTTTTTTTAAAAAAAGCAGTACATTCATTTACACATTTTGAAAGCTCTAAATAGATTACCTCATATTTATAAATTAGTTTTGCATGACTTATGAGCTGTAAAACGTTTTTGTCAACCAGGTTTTATCCTAATATTTTAAATTCTTACTACTCGGGGTGTGTTCCTGACTAGCAGCACACCATTATTGAGGTGCTTATTAGACATGCAGAAGAGCAGGCCTCATGAGACTTACAGATCATTAATCTGCTGAGATTATAGGCATGAACCACTGCACCTGGCTATAAATTTATCAAAGTTACCACATGACCCTTTTTCATTTTGAAGACTGAGAAGCATTGTTTTAAGTCACATTCTTGTAGTTACTTTTACCAGGGCAACTCAATCTACTTTTAATGAAATTTGGCAAATTTTGATTTAAATAATTAAAAACATTAATTTATCATTTGCAATTCAATTTTGTGTTCTTTCTGTAGCTATACAGGAGTCAAACACTAAAAAGAGCCTAAAGCCTTTAAGATCTGCCTTTTTTTGAAGATTGAAAAATACAGTGAATGAGAGAGAGAAGATTCACCTCCCCAAAGTGGGAGGGGGACTCCAAAGCTTAGGAAAACGTGGCAGCCATAATGCAATGATGATCTGTCATTTTAATTCAATATGATGCTATATTGTGTAGCAAAAAAGTAATTATTAATATTTCACTTGATAACAATATATTCACTTTGGGGAGGAAAAAAGTCAATCTAGAGGTGACATCATCATCACCGCCAGTACTATTTTAAATAAAGATCTTATTTGCAGCTGGGCTCGGTGGCTCAGCCTGTAATCCCATGCCTTGGGAGGCTGAGGTGAGTGAATTGCCTGAGCCGTGGGTTCGAGACCCGCCTGGGCAACTTGGTGAGACCTCATCTCTACAATAAACCAAAAAATTAGCCAGGCGTGGTAGCGCACGCCTGTAGTTCCAGCTACTTGGAAGGCTGAGGTGGAAGGATCATCGGAGCCCAGCAGGTCAGGCTGCGGTGGCCGGGAGCAGCCACTGCACCCCAGTCTGGGCAACAGAGTGAGACTCCAACTCAAAAAAAAAAAAAAAGATCTTATTTGCAAACAGGAAGTTTGTTAAGACAAACCAACTGACTCAGGTACAGTCTTACAAACTAAGAGGTAATATTTCACTATATTAAGAATTTATAAATTTTACTTCACACTCATTATGATGACTATTGTTTAAAAAGACAGAAAATAAGTGTTGTGAGGATGTGCAAAGATTGAAACCCTTGTGCATTGCTGGGACAAACTGTAAAAGCTGATGCAGCTGCTATAAAAAATAGTTTGATGATTCCTCATGAAGTTAAATACAGCATTACCATATGATTCAAGCAAGTTCATTCTCAGGAATATACCTAAAAGAACTGAAAGCAAGTACTCAAACTTATACACCAACGTTCACGGCAGCATTATTTACAACAGTTACAAAGTAGAAACAATCCAAATGTCTATCAAAAGATGAATAAATAAATTGTGGTATGTATACATGCATAATGGAATATTATTAAGCTATAAAATAAATAATATCCTGATATGTGCTGCCAACATGAATGAACTTAAAGGCATTTTGTTAAGTGAAGTAAGCCAGACACAAAAGGACAAAGATTGTAGGATTCCACTTATATTAAATACCTAGAAGAGGCTAATTCAAGAGAAAGAAAGTAGAAAGGTGGTTGAAAGCAGCTAGGAAGAGGAGAGAATGGGGAATTACTATTTAATGGTCACAGAGTTTCTGTTTGGGATCATGAAAAAGTTCTGAAAATGAATAGGTTATGGTTGCACTGTGAATGCAGTTAATGCTACTGAACTGCATATTTAAAAATGGTTTTAAAAAAATGTACCAATTACCTTGAAAGGGTAATATAGTTTTCTTACATTCCTGATTTATTACCTAACCTGGTATCTGGGAAATCTTTTCCATAAATGCTGTTTTATAGAGAGCTCCTAGCAACTTAGTGGTAATTTAACAGACATTAGAAAAATATTAGGTTGATTAAAAATGGAAATAAGTTGGTCATGGTGGTACATGCCTATGGTGTTAGCTACTCAGAAGGCTGAGGCAGGAAGATTTTTTTGAGCTCAGGAGTTCTAAGCTGTAGTGTGCAGTTATCACCCTGTGAATAGCTACTACATTCCTGCCAGGGCAACATTGCGAGACCTCATTTAAAAAAAAAAAAAATTTAAAATGTAAGTGGATATATTAGGTTCACTTTAGTGCATGACAACATCAATTCTTCTTTCCAGATATTTAAGGGCTATCTGTGATAACTGTTAATTTTAATTTGGCACCATACGAGCATACATTAGAGCAAGAAATATGTCCCAGATCTAGGAACAGAATTTCCATGTACTGCTTGAGAATGAATATGAAGATGCAGAATCCACATTTCTCACAACTCACTGTAAAAAGTCTGTTATTTACATCCCAATAAAACTGGAAAAAAAGTCTTTAAGTGTGGAAACCCTTACCTATCTGTAGTATCTAAAACAAATACAATCAATGACATCATTATTTCTATTAAGTTTAAGATATTATTTCTGGAGATCCCTCCCCCCAGAGATTAAATAGCATATTAGATATTTTTTTCCTAGCGGAATCAAAATACCAGTAAATACTAGTTCTGCCGTTGGGACATTTTCTGACAGGAAAAAAAAAAGTCACTGGAAAAAAAAGCCCAGTGTTTTCAAATAGAGTCTGGAAAAAAAAAGCCACTTCTTCAAAAGGTAGTAATTGCATATCAATGTGCTTGGTTCTCTGAGGCTGTGCTGTATTAAATAGGAACAGAAGGTTTTCTTTTCCAGAAGCTCAAAGGAGGACACAGACCTGCTGCTCCCTTGGTTGCTAGCTCAAGCAGTACGATAACTTCAGGGTGATAAATGAGGTTGTTTCTACTAGTTTTCAATGCAATACCAAGAAAGAGTATAAAAAGAAGGTTATAAATACAAAAGAAACTACGGCAAGGACTGCAAATTAGCGAGGTTGCTAGTTAATGCTAGTAAATATCTTTGCCAACTAAAGCATCTGGAAAAATAAACTTAGACTTCTCCAAAGTATAGTAATAATAATACCACAAGAGATTAATAATCTAAATTATCAGTGTATGGAAGAGAGGCTATTTTGAGAAAAGCAGTGAAGACACTAGAGTGCTAAATTCCTGAAGAAAGTTACAACCAATGACTGGTGACACGTATTCTAAGGGACCTACTACCTGTTTAAACAGCATCTCAAACTGTCAGTAAAACAAGTGTCTCGGGAGGGGAACCTCTGGACATGGCCTACTCAGTTTTAGCTAGAGACACCAATAGGGTGGGTTTATTTGGGGAACGAGAAGCACCCTGGAAAGAGATTATAAAGAACAAAAATAGTAGTCTAATCTAAAGTCTTCAACCCAGTTCAAATATGATTGGATGGTGAACCTAACATCGAGCGATCAAAGAATGGCTCTTTCCTTGAAAAAATGTCAAAAGACACAACTGTTGGCAGGAATATATAGAGGCTTTAAAGGGCTCTGGAAACAAACAAAACAAAACAAAATCTCTTCCTCTAAAGCCTCAAGCTTCATGTAAGAAATTTCTATCAAAAAATTGGAGATTTCAGTTCAATGACATTTTAGAATTTAATTAATGAACAATCTTGAGAGAATAATGTAGAATTATCATTTTTATGATTCTCTTCTAACATTTTTCAGTATACCTGGCAATATTCTAAACACCTCACATGTATTGACTCATTGAATTCTAACAACTCTTTGAAGGCTTATAATTTATTACCATATTATTAAGGCCAGCTCCAGTAGCTTGCACCTGTAATTCCAGTGCTTTGGGAGGCTAAAGCAGGAGGATCAACTGAGGCCAAGAGTTTGAGACCATATTATTACAAGAGAAGATGCTTGTTTATCACCAAGCCCATACAGCTTGTTAGTGGCAGAGCAAAGTCTCTAATGCAGATCCTGTGCCTCCCAAATGAAAATAATTCTGTACTTGACTGAAATTTGATAGATTAAACTCTCAAGCAGCATTTATGTAGGTGGATGTGCTTACTCTGTATAGCCTGTACAAGATACCTAAATATGTCTTACGATTCAATGGTCAAGTAAATAGCACTGTGTTTTTAGTTCTGGGCCTGTAAAGTGCTGGGGAATGTTCTCCTAGTTGGTAGGACTCTGATACTTAAATACATACTGCCAATCTAGAAAAATCTTTCCCCCTATAACTAGCCCTATTAAACTAAGGGTTAAGATTGATTTTGCAAGAAAAGACGAGATGCAACTATTAGGGGCACAGATACAGATTACTTCATCTGTTTTGCCCAAAGGATTCTTGGAGAGTTCCTTTGCTTGTGAGATCTGTGGAGAGGGAGATGAGGCATGAAACTATTGCTTTAACTCAGTTAAAACTCCTGATCCTAACAGGTGTTAATCAAAATCCTTATCCTGGATATTGGAGAAGATGGAATGAGCTGATGACAACTTTAATGCAGAGGCATATACTTTCAGACTTTCCCTGAAATACTTGACAAATCTGCACATTGTACTCAGATTTACTGGCAACAAGTGAGCCAGAAACCTGCTACTGTAGTTTTTCAACTTGCTATCACTATGATTCAAAACTTACGTATCAGGGGTTTAAATCTGTTTCTTAGTGGTGGTTGACACTATTTTAAGAGCTTCTCTGCAGTTTCAGTAAATCAATTCTCTACCACTGGGTAATATATTAAAAATCTTACCACATCATTATTTAGAATATTCCTGCCAATCAATTTCAGTAAATCAAATTATGTTTGACTGTCTATGGGTTTAGTAGAGAAATTCCAAGTAAGTTTTACAGTTTCCAAGGGATGCTGGTGACTAAAAGGGAGCAAAGTAAAAAGTAAGAGAGGAGAGAAATGACCACTATACCAAGTTAAATGTAAGTTCTTCTTCTGACAGATCAAGATTTTGAGGGCCATAAGTATTTTTAACAAATCTTTGAAGAGTTGTCTCAGAGAAGAGACTTTGTGTCAGTTTGTAGGACAAAAAAGTCATACAGCAGCATATTCTACTGAATAAATAAACAACTGAGTAAAGGTCATTGGCTCAAGTCAGAGTCTATCTAAATTTTGAATACTGTCTGGAGATAATTTTGCCCAGATCAGACATATTGTAATTATAAAGGGTGGGGGAGAAAGCATCCTAGGTTCAGTTACAAGGCCCAGAACTGGTTGGTAAACAAGCTGCAATAGAAAGGGCTACTCAGTGGTGGAAAGAGAAATACCTATTACTACTTCTTATTGCCACAACAATTATATTCAGTTACATCCAGGCAGAACTTTCTTGGACATGGTTCAAAATGATTCTGTCAAGTGTAGTTCTTAAAAACAAGAAATTATTATCATTTGTTGTGGTTTTTGTAATCATCTTTAGAGAATTATTTCTGAGCTTTCTGGAGAAAGAAGCAAAAACCAGAATCATGCCTTTATTTTGTAAAGATCTCTCTTGCAAAGCTTCCTTTTGCATGAACAGATCTTGCTTCTCATTGAAATAAGAGATAAGGGCAGCAGAAAACATGTGACCATTTCTACTTATAATTTCTGATTAAAGTCAGAGCTCTGGTACTATACAAACAAAAGTAAGAAGCCAAGAATGTAAAATAGGGATTGTAAATTAATGTCTAAAGATGTGAAGCTGGCAATGTAAAATTATTCCTATAGCTTAATAAATATGAAAACCAAAAGGAAATAGGATGAAATTCAGGCATTTAAACTTCTTTTTATTTCATTTAAGTCATCTTCTCTTCCACTCAGGGGCTATGCCCAGAAAATGATGACTCTATCTACCAAGTTCTCTACTACCCTTGTGAACAGGAGAAAGTAAATAATTACCAAATGTGACTTTAGTCTATGTGGCCACTCATAGATCTCTTGAACTGAGACAAAATTCCAAGAAAGGTCTGTGATCTTGGCATACAGTCTCCAGTGGATCTTGAGTAAAACTAGTCTGATATTTTGGGGCTTGAGAAATTTTTTTCCAACTTTGGCCTAGAAATTTACAGTTTATAGTATGGCCTATGTTCATAAACATATATACACATATGCATATATATATACATAAATATATGTATATATACACATAAATATATGTATATATATTTACATAAAAGTCTTTAAGGTAAAAGTCTGACCTAAATTGGTAGATTTTTTTCATTTGTTTGCTTCTTCAGTCAAACCACATTCATTATTTGCAGCATACAAAGAGAATGGAGATGAACACAAGAAGTAACAGCTAAGCCACAGTGAAAATTAGTAAAAGCCAGACCACAGAAACCACAGAGCTTAAGAAGACAATGTCATTCATAGGCTTTCTTTTCCCTTCAAAACTTTATTTTTCTCTGATCTCTGCAAATGCTTTTTATTTTATCTTCTAGATATTTTACTGGTTTATATTTTCCTTCTTTGTAGCTTCTCCAACTAATCTTCTAAGTCAGACTTTCTCAACCAGAATTCGTCATCTGATTCAAAGAACTCAGAAAATGATTTCTAGTATGTGATAATTTTCTCAATTTTTCCAAGGATGGTATATAATTTGTACCATTCTAGATGCAGAGGATGCATACTATGGGTGCCTCATGGCACTAGCATTTAATGAGCTCAAGAACCCTATTCTGACTCAGAAGAGAAGCTCCTTTACTAGTCTAGTATTCCTACTCGACAGTAAAGGAGTTTCAGGTTCACCTCAAGACCATTTATTTGCTAATAACTTAGCTCATGTGCATTCACTAACTCCCTTCGTATTTTCATAGATCAAGCCTTATCTCTCACTGTGCGGTAATGAGGTGAAGTTAGTAATCAACTACTGAATAATAAAATTAGGAGTTTGTCTTTTAAATGTTTTGAAAAATTACCTCAAGTTAGTATCTGGACATAACCTATTGTTTAATATTTTGTTGCTGTTTTGCTTGCTTAGTCTGATTTAGCCATGAAAGTAGTAAACATGACTTTCTTTTTTTTAAAAATTTATAAACATATTTTTTATTTTAAAATTGTGGGGTACAGTTAAGGGTTAGGTATACAAATATGTATCCTTCAGGCACCCTTGTTGATAAGGGGTGTCTCCCCATCCCCAGACAGATATTGACTACTGTTAATCCCACCTCTCTTTCCCTCCTCCCTACCCTCTTCCATAGTTTCCCGCCACTGTCAATCCTTTTCTTATAGTATTATGATAGATGTTCAAGGTCCACTATATGAGTGCAACCTCTGTGGAAAGCAGTGTGGCGATTCCCAAAAGCTCTAAATATCAACCTCCCATATGACCCCGCAATCCCCCTACTGGGAATATACTCTGAAGAACTCAAATCACTCTATCAAAAAGATACCTGCACACACATGTTTATCGCAGCATTGTTCACAATAGCAAGAACCTGGAAGCAACCATGCTGTCCATCAAAAGAGGACTGGATTAAAAAAATGTGGTACATATACATGATGGAATACTACGCAGCCATAAAAAAGAACAAAATCATGAATTTCACAGCAACCTGGATGGAACTAGAGTCTATAACACTGAGTGATCTCTCACAGAAACAAAGATCTGAATAAACATGACTTTCTATTCATCAATCACCATATCTAAGCACCTAGTGGAAGTCGACAACTTTTTTCTGTAAGGAGCCAAGCAGTAAATATTTTGAGTTTTACTGCTCAATTCTGTTGTCATAGCCCCAAAGCAGAGGCAGACAATACATAAGCAAATTGGCATGAAAGGGTGTGGTTGGGTAGAAATAAAACATTATTTCCAAGAATAAGGGTGGGCGATAATAGTTTGCTGACCCCAGACCCAGTTTTCAGTGCTATACATAGGTTGGCAGTTCAATAAATATTTTTAGATAATGATGATGATGATGAGGGTAAGAAACAGACCAGTTTGGGTAGGGATAGTTCCATAATTACATACTTCTACCATCTAGCAGTGCTATGACTAGATTTTGGTATCTGAGAAGTATAAAAGTAAAGACTAGAGTTTTATAGCCATCTAGAGTACATCCATGCACATGTGATAATTCTGGAAATAAGCCCCCCAAAATACTATTTCTTTTTTGTTCATTTCATTAACTAAAACAAAAGTTAACTGAATCTACTTTGAATAAGTATAATGCTGATAGCCCACAGTCAAATGAGTAAACAGAAATACATATCCTTTCCAATACTGATTTATCATCAGTTTACACTTATTGAACTTATCAGACACTGGAAACTAAACAAGACACAAAAAGCCTGCAGTCACTGGTTCCTGATGAGGACTGTGCATTAGAATCACCAGGGAGTTTTTTTTTCTTTCTTTCTTCTTAGAGCCCTACTCAAAAACTACTAAACCCAAATCTTACTTGTTGGGAGCCCAAGATAAATATTTGGGCAACCCTAATTAAGAACCACTGCTAGAGGCTTATATTTTAAAAGAGATGTTAAACTAAATGCTTTCTAATCTATGGCCAGCAATTTGGTATTACAGTTTAAAGTGTACGGACTTTAAAATTCAAATAGCTGGGCTCTAATCCCATTTCTGCCATTTCCTAGCTGCATAACCCTGAGGAACTTCTCTGTACCCGAGTTTCCTTATCTGTAAAATGGGGGTAATCACAGCACTTAAATAATAGCATTGTTGGGATAATTCAATATTTACAAAATATTTGGCACAGTGCTCAGCACACATTAAGCATATGATACATATAAATGATTACTACTTATTACACATTTTAAAAATTAAGAATAAGAATATCAACTATGCTGCAATTTAAAGGCCTGATTCAAGGTACCAAGTCCCTTTAAAAACTTTTAAAAGATGATTAGGCCGATTCCATTTTGGCTTATACTAACCAGCAGAAGAGGTGTCCTTTTCCACAATCCACAGCAGGAGCTCTTAGCAACGGGAAGCTGAGTGTATCAGATCCAGATGTATTTGACCCTTGTTTTGTTAGCCTGACTGCTCTTTCACAGCCTGGAGTAGGACACCATTTAATGGCAGGGTTATTTTCAACAAAGGCCTATTTAAAAAGCAGTAACAAAACACAAAAGAAAATATTTTAACTCTGAACTCTAGCACAGAGTATATCTCTATGGTAATTTACTTTAAAGAAAACTAAAAAAAAAAGTGAAATCAAATGCAAGGAATTGTCAATCTTAAGAATTACTTAAAAACAGTACTGGAAAGTACTATAAAAGAAAGAGAAAATGTTAACTAACTTACTGATGACATAATTTTAGAAATTTGTATTTTCTTTAATCTAAAAACTAGGTAAATGATGATAAAGTAAAAATGCAAGTATTCACATAGAAAATGTGTAATTTGAAAATGTTTTCCCCGGGTCAGGTTCAGTGGCTTAGCCTGTAATCCCAGCACTTTGGGAGGCCAAGGCGACTGGATTGCCTGAGCCCGTCTGTGGGTTCAAGACCACCCTGGGCAACTGGGAGAGAACATATCTCTCCAATAAATCAAAAATTAGCTGGGCATGGTAATGTGCGCCTGTAGTAGCAGAATGACTACTGGAGCCCAGCAGGTCGATGCTGGGGTGTGAGGCTCCAACACACACACACACACACACACACACACACAAAATGTTTTCTCATACAATGTGCTACATTTCTAATAAAATATAAGCAGAATCTTATGTGTAATTATTAGTTGTATTCGAACAGGAAATTTCTAGATGGTACCCTAATAATACATACAAATCAATATTATGATGTTTTCTATGTTAAAGCAGCAAGACTTCTTTTTCAAAAAAATCTATATATTAGGGTTTATTTAGTCTAAGACAAATCTGCATAAGGCAGTTAAAATATAACTTTTAAATTACACACAAAAAGAAAGTAATTTGCATACACTTCTGAATAACTCCTGAATGAAAACAAAGAAAATAGCAAAAAAAGATGAAATAAACACTATAATTCATTATATGAAACTATTACTATTACTTTTCAGATTAAAAATTTTTTCCAAGTTGAGAATTTTTATATTTATATTTAAGAGTATAAAATATAACATCTTTGGGAAAACTTAGAGTAGATACTATCTAATTTGAGTGTTATCTTAATCAGTTATAAAAGTGTAAAGGCAAATTAATAAATAGTCTGAGTAATAATTTTATTTTAATTTTTATAAACTACTAATATTTTAGCCTTTAACTTTTCCTATTAAAATAATGCTTTAGCTTAAAACTTTATTTATTTAATGTCATCATTCTTTTATGTAACTTGTCTAATAAACAAGTTTAGAGCCTGTTATTTTGTGTTTTCAAAAAGAAAACAAGAAGAATTAAATAACATGTGTTATAAAGGCTTAATGCAATTAAAATTATGGAAATAAGACCAATAGTTGGCAGCATACCTTAATATCAAACTGAAGGTATCGCTTGTCCATCTCCTTTGAAACTACACTTTCTATGATATCCACAGGCACAAGTTGGAAGCAATCATATGCAGGACAGAAAATGTTGTGAGCTTCACCTTCTTGAATTTTCAGATTCAAAAACCTATTAAAATGATCAAAACAGCAAAAGGGCAAGGATGTAAGTCATATGTACATTCTAAGAACATTTTCCTTATGTTGAATTTTAGTTTAATTAGAGTATAATTAAACTAATACCAAGAAAATATGGACTATAAGTGGAAATACTTATTATCTGCTGAGCCATTCATCTTTATATGACTATGTATTTTTATGTTTCTGTTTTGCGTTACCTTATCTAAAATTTTTAAAAATTTTTATTTAACATTAAAAATTCAGAAATGAATGACTTAAAAGGTAATATTTAATTCCCATTATTCTATACCTTTAAATAGTATAGAAATTAACCATAGATAATTCAAGTTATTTTGGGTGGCATCAGAATACAGCATGCCTTAAAAAAAAAAAAGTTTCTCTTTGTATTTCTTTTTTTTTTGAGTCAGAGTCTCACTCTGTTACCCAGCTGGAGCGCAGTGGCATACTCAGGGCCACTGCAGTCTCAGCTGGGCTCAGACAATCCTTCCACCTCAGTCTTCCAAGTAGCTGGAACTATAGGCACATGCCACCACGTCTGGCTAAGTTTTTGATTTATTGTAGAGACGAGGTCTCTCCAAGTTGCCCAGGCAGGTCTCAAACCCCTGGACTCAGGCAATCCTCTTGCCTTGGCCTCCCAAAGTGCTGGGATTATAGGCTTGAGCCACCATGCCCAGCCTCTCTTTGTATTTCATTAGGTGAATATTAAAATGAGTTTTATGTCCTATTCTGAGTACACTACATGAGATTGTAAGGAAAAATCATCCTGCAAAGTGGCAGAAATCTAGACCAAGGTTAGATTAACTGGTTAAAAGCAGATTTTTTTTTTTTTTTAAGGTGAGGTCTTGCTATGTTTTTCAGTCTGATCTCTAAATCCTGGGCTCAAGCAAACCTCCTACCTCAGCCTCCTAAGTAGCTAGGATTACAGTCATGCAACATAGTGGCCAGCTGTGTTTTTAGTTAGAAAACTCCAGGTCTGCCACCAACAAACTATATGATCTTAAGCAATTTGTTGAACTGTTTTGAGCCTCAGTTTCACTATATGTAAAATGGAGATAATATCTACTTTCCACGGTTGTTATATAGATTATATATGTGAAAAATCTGCATGGTACCTGGTAAAAATTCACACATTTTAGCAAGGACTATTATTGTTATTATTATTTAATACTACTTGAGGAAAAACAAAAAGCAAATTTTGAAGTGTAGATTACAATTGGATTTAACACTTAAACCTCAAGAAATAAATGGAAACCAGGCAATTAAATCACAACGCTCTAGTCATCATCATCAATAGTCTAATTATTCCACCGACTATCTTTTCCCTTTAGTTCTCTCAGTTTCTTAATTCTATTGCATTAAAAAAAAAAACCACCTTATTGAGACCTTACTAGACCTGCTTACTTTGCTCTGTCTCCTCTTCTACACCTTTATCTTGGCATTTCATAGAAAGAAGAGTCCCTATTAGGCAGTTCTCTCTCTCGAAGTCCTCTCTACCATACCCAAAACCTAGCTGTATCTTTAGCGTTCTTTGCCTTCTTCCCATTCACTTCAGTGAAAGAAAGTCTTCCTCTTTTACTCTGAAGCGAATCCTCAAATCCTGGGACCTACACAATTTATTAATCTATCCTTTCTCTCTCTCATTCTGTAAAGGCTCTTACCATAGGCACAACAAACTTGCTCAAGTTTTTCCCATCCTTTAGTTCCACTGCCCTTTCACATCAAAGTTTCTTGACAAAATAGTTTATGATGATTTGTCACTCCTTCCTCAAGTTCATTCATTCACTTCTCAACCTGTAACATTCTGACTTCTGTCACCTCTTCGCTGGAGGTTGGCTTTCAACAAGGCCACAGTGACTACTCATTAGCCAGTTTTATTCAATATTTCCCAGTTTCTATCTTCTTTGACTTTTCTGGATCATCGGACATGGCTGAACAGTTCCTCATTTTATTTTATTTTATTTTATTTTGAGTTGGAGTCTCACTCTGTCACCCAGACTGGAGTGCGGTGGCGGCTCCCGGCCAC